ATCTTGACGAGCTCTTGCGGTGCTTGTTGGCCCTGTTGACCAATGATCAGAAACGTTATGTCCAAGAGCAGGCACTGTCAACGATTGCTACCATTGCAGACTCAGCAGAAGCTGCGTTCTCCAGATATTATGATACATTAATGCCTCTACTTTTCAACGTTTTGAACAGACCTCAAGATCCTGAATCGAAGGACCTTCGACTATTGAACGCTAAGGCTATGGAGTGCGCTACTTTGATCGCTTTGGCTGTTGGGAGGGAACGATTGGGCATTGATGCGGTTCGGTTGGTTCAGGTTCTCGGTCGTATTCAACGTATGTGGACTATCAGGTTTTAAGGTTTTTTTTTGACGCTAACTTGATCACAGAAAACGTAACAGATCCCGATGACCCACAAGGGTCTTACCTCCTTCACTGCTGGGGCCGTATGTGCCGTGTTATGGGCAATGATTTCCTGCCATATCTTACCGCTGTTATGCCACCTCTTCTGGAGCTTGCTAGCGCAAAGGCGAACGTTCAATTGCTTGACGGTCAGTACCTATCCAGGATCTGGTCTTTATATCTCTAATGTTTTATAATTCTTTTTTTTAGATGACGAGCACATTGCACAGGTGGAACAAGAAGAGGGCTGGGAACTTCTCCCTGTCCGAGGTAAATACATTGGTATCAAGACATCTGCATTGGATGACAAGTATATGGCTATCGAGCTCTTGGTTATCTATGCCCAACAATTGGAGGCTGCATTCGAGCCTTATGTCAATACCGTGATGACAAACATTGCTCTTCCTGGTCTTGGTTTCTTCTTCAACGATGCAGTTCGTGTGGCCTCGGCGAGATGTGTGCCTCAACTCCTTAACTCAATAAAGAAAGCCCATGGGCCTTCTTCCCGGCAACTGGCAGAAATTTGGCAACCCGCAGTTCATAAGATTCTCGAAGTGCTCAACTCGGAACCTGCGGTTGAGACATTGGCTGAGCTGTACCAATGCTTCTATGAATCAGTCGAAGTTGTTGGGCAGGGTTGCTTAACCCAGGAGTTGATGGCTACCTTTATCGAGCGCGCAGAAAATGCTTTGATAGAATATCAAGCACGAGTGGTTGGACGACTGGAAGAACAAAGCAAACCGGAAGAGGAGAGGGAAGATACTGAAGAAATGCTTTATGCTATTGAGGATGATCAGACTCTTATTTCGGACATGAACAAGGCTTTCCACACAGTCTTTAAGAACCAGGGTGTATCTTTCTTACCCCAGTGGGAACGGTTGCTCCCTTACTATGATGCTTTTATCACCAATGCCGATCCTACTCAGAGACAGTGGGCACTTTGCATGATGGATGATGTTCTTGAGTTCTGTGGACCGGAGGCGTGGAAGTACCAAGCTCACTTCGTCCAGCCTCTAATCGATGGATTGTCAGATGACATCCCTGCAAACAGGCAGGCAGCAGCCTATGGCGTCGGTATCGCCGCGAAGAACGGTGGCCCTCTCTTTTCTGACTTTGTGGCTGCTACTATTCCGAAGCTGTTTGAGGTTACCCAGCGCCCAGAAGCTAGGTCGGACGATCATGTATTTGCTACTGAAAACGCATGCGCTTCAATTGCAAAGATTCTTCACTTCAATAGCAACAAGGTCGCCGACGTTCAAGCCGTAGTTCAGGCCTGGGTATCAACCTTACCAATCGTGAATGATGATGAGGCGGCGCCGTTTGCGTACACATTTTTGGCCGAGTTGATCGATCAGTATGACTCTCTAATCTCGATGCTTTCCTACTCCCATTCTTCGGTTTGGCATGCTGATTAAAAGTGCTACAGAAAAAACCCGGCTGTGATGAATCAAGTCCCACAGATCTTCGATTCCGTTCTTCAGGCGCTGGATGCCGAGACTATTCAAGGACAAACCGCAGAGAGAGTCGTTGCAGTTACGAAGAACTTGTTCAGCACTGCAGGGGTCTCAATCTCTCAGATTCTGGGCTCAATGCCTGCCGAGCGACACAACACGGCTCGCCGTTATTTCGCATAACTTTGGGTGGATTACTAGATTTTCTGTAGGGTCTGTGAGACGCGTGGTCAAAAGTTTAGCATGTATTTTTTTCTTTTTCCTTCTCTGTTCTTGACCTATAGTAGTTACTCTTCCTCATCTCTCCCGATTCTTGAATCCGTTTTTCTACGAGTTTTCCTGGTTTAGAGCGGGCTCCTTTTGTGTAATTCTTGAAAGATAAAGGTGTTTGCTCCAGGTCTAAAGGATGGAGCGGTTGAGTTACAGCGGTCTAGGATTATTTATACCTATCTGTGTGGGCGTGTTTGGTGGGAGGGATGTTTTCTTATGTGGCTGTCATTTTTCGTCTGCGTGTGGGTTTAGGGGAAGGGAAGATATGGTAACACCCATATGAGTTTTTATTCTATCTCTAGAATTTGTCGATCTTCAGATTGGCATGGGGGGTATCTTTATACAAGATTCATATTATCTTTCCTTTCCTTGCTTTTCTTTTGGTGTTTACTGGAAAGGTGGTATTTCATCGGATGGGTAATCGTATCAATTTTTTATTTTTATTTTAATCAGCGATGACTGTGACGATGAAATCAGAATGGGCTTGGGGCGATGTGTTTTTGAATATTTAAAATTTGCTTGGTGTTGATTGGATGAATTGATGGAAATGTCATAATATGGATGGAAATACTAAACCTTTGTCCATCATCATCGATATGCACTCGCTCATTCCAATAGGTATTTTGTGTGGCTTCGACGTCTCACATGTGATGACCAGCACCATTCAGAACGGAACCCCGCACCATACGGCTTGCTTTTAAGGTTTAGGAGACTTGCTGGATGCCAACAAAATCGCCAAGCAACGGCAGATTCACCAACGATCTCCACAGGGTTCGGGAATGATGCTTCCGCTTCCGCACGTACTTTTACAAATAGGTATTGGGAGATTGACTTTTTTAAGTAGCTGTCTGAGATGTAGCTACATGTACTCAAGCTAGGTAGTTAACAACTACATGTACGTACCTATATACATGAATCCTCGAAATCACAGCTCAATCATATTTCACGTGAATACTCTATTTCTAGGGCTGGGGGACAACACATAAGCAATAGCCGTGGAGTGAAGATCATATCCTGTTTCGATGTATGTACATACAAACAAAGCGAATTGATCAATACCTACCTTACCATACCTCAAGTCCAACCATCCAACCACCCAGGCCAACAATTAAAAAAAACCTTCGTTCCCACGTTTCTTCTTCTTGTTGTGCTGCGATATGACATGATCTGACGTCCTTTTTGTTTTCTTTTTGTTATTGCTTGCTTGTTTGTACCTGCAAAACAGCCCTGGACAACACCATGAACAGTGAGCGTAGCGACGCCGAAGCTCTATTACCGCCGCATATAAGTACAGAAGAGTACGCTGCCTATACTCACTTCTCCTCCCCAATGATGACGACAATGAGTACTACCATCAGTACCAACACAGCTACTACAGCTCCCACAACGAACTACTTTTCACCATTGAAACGGAAGCGCGACAGATCACCCCTTGGGGTTCCTGAGACTCCATGGCGACTTCAACCAGCGCTCACGGATGAGGACGATGAGGCTACCGATGTGGAGATTGCGGACGATATAGAGGTTATTACCCCGAGTAGTGGTCAGGCATCGCCAAGGTCGAGGAAGCTTGCAAGTCAGTTGGAGGATTTGAATCTATCAGTAGCTAGACCGATATTTACGAGCGGAGACTTGGGGATGGCTACAGCTGCTACCACAATGACGACGGGGCAGCCGGCGGCCAAGAAACCAAAAAACAAGACGAGATTAATAGCTACAGCTACCACGATGACGAAAGTAGGGAATAGAAATATCGGAGTATTGACAAAGAATAACGATGGTGATTCATCGATGGATGGGAGCGAGAATAGACATATCGAGTCGGCAGAGGTTACCGCTGAAACAAAAGGCGGGGTAGAATGGGTGGATGAGCCACCTTTAGCGACCAGGAGTATTTCAAATGGAGGTGATGAAATGGAGGAAAATCGTAATAATAATAATCACACAAAGCGGATGCGCCTGCGCTCACCCCCATTACCGAGAATGGATACGGGAGAGGACGGTGATGGTGTGGTCATGGACGAGAACGAGGATGTAGATTCTGATGATACGGAGCAGCTTGGGATTGGATATCGCCCAACGCCTACTCAACGTTATGTCAGGTCTCAGAAGCGGATGCAGCAGGTACGTGCATTTGCTCATGGGGCATTTCGTCGCCATGTGAATAGCCGACTGATATTGATCTCATTGAGCAGATCAAGGAATACAAGGCTAGAATATCGAAAGAGGCCCGTGAGAAGAGGAGCGAATCGAGACGGAGAAGAAGAAGCTTCCCGGAACGACAGCAAGTGGCGGCGGGTGAAAGCGCTCAAAATGAAGGTTCAGATGAGGGCGGCAGGAAGAAGACTGTCCAATTCAAAATCGACCCTGTAGTATAGCTGACCTGGTATCGTTGGTTTGAGTGCACCGTGGCCTGCACGATCAACTACATATTTATACGCCACCACCCAGAATTCAACTGGAGTTGGTAGGTCAACAAACATATCGTCTGTTTTCCCGCTTTCTGTCTGATGTTTAGTGGTGAGGGCTGGCGTTGTTGGAAATCTTCAAGGTATTATATCTCTTTGTATAGGTACATATATATTTGCTACAGCTTTGCGTTCAATATCATGTGGGCTGGGGACCGGTTTTGTTTGGGCGGTATGGGGGACTTATTATTGCTTAGTGTGTCATCCAAATTTCTATTATCCATCATTTCCTCTATCTATACACACGCAAAAACTACAACTACATGTAACCATTGTGCATTCAAATACTGCACGATTATTGCATTCAGCCATCAAACAAAGTCAAGTATTATATGCCCCAGACCTCAATCTCCTATCATTACAGCTCCTTTTATAAACTCGAGAGAAAAGCACGACGCCAATAATAGCCAAATATAGTTACACCTCATTTCACTCACCAGAATTTATACCACGGCCGCATCGCCGCAATCCTGGCCGCCTCTTCGGCCTTCGCCTTCTCTTCCCGTTCAATCCTCAATTTCTCTTTCTTCTCTGCGATTTGCTTTTCCCTCTCCGCCTTCCTCCGATCAATAATCTCGATCGCCCGTTGCATCCCCGCCTTTTCCCGGTGTCGCCGGAACTGGCAGAACTCATATGTCATGAGCGAAGCACCCGCAAATGTACCAGCCGCCCAGTTCGCCGCTCTTGGTACGGAAGCTGTTTGGCCACTTTCGTCAGCCAATTGCAACTGTAATTAACACCTATTGCCCGAATAGCAGTACCTCCTAGAACCAGTCTCAACCCTCCGAACGCAAACCCGGTTCCAATACCATAAAGTAGTGAGTTACGGACGCACGGCTGCATATGGACATTTTTAAAGTCCTCCATTGAAATTGACTTCACAGCATCTGTGAGGGTGGCCTGCGCGGGCCGGGCATACTCGTTTGCGCCCGTGGGTGGTGCCGGCGGTGTGTAGGGTTTTTTGGGCAGGGTTGTTACGGCTTCCCGAGAGGTTTCAGCGACTTCACGGGCGTCTTCTGCCATTTTTGTGGTGGTTTGTAGAGTGAGAAGTTGTGCTTAGGATTCGTTTGGCGCGGTTGGTTTGGCGGGGTGTGGTGCATATCGTCATTGTTTTGTAGCCTATATTACGTAAGCTACGAGGCAGAGCCGAGTGAGAATTGGAGTAAATGGGCTTGGCGGGAAAGGCGGTAGGGGGATGAGGGTTTCTAGGATTTGGTGGTGGGGAATTTTGGACGTCGCAGATCATATACATGTATCTTACGGCCTTAGTAGTTATGATGATATATCATTTTTCCTGGATTTTGTGATACGCGGTAAGGGCCCCAACGGAGCAAGCAGCGGATTACAAAGCCTATGAGAACAAATAGCGAGACAGTATATCCAGTCTCTCACTAAAAAAAATTTCTAATGACTTTGTAGATTATAAAAAGTTTCTACATACAGCGGAGTAGTAGACGCCTTCACTAGGGTATGGTGCTCACGGGGGTATGGTGTAACAACTAAGAACGACAAAAATGGGCACAAAAAATACGAGGAATATCAGCAAATAGGGCTTATAGATACAATTCTCTGTGCAAAATAAGGACTTCTGTTGATTTTTCTCGAATTCTCCATGCTCATTTTTGACGTTCTTGAACGTTGCACCATACCCCCGTGAGAACCATACCCCCGTGAAGGCGTCTAGGTGGTAACGGCCGGAAGGGGGGGAGGGTACGAGACAGAGGAAACTGGTTCGATCATCACGCTCTCCGTAAGAGAACATGTAGGTATAATCACAGATTTCCTGTAGTTAGCGATTACTAGCGGTTTGCCCAATTGCACCAATTCATGCCCGGAGACAGAGGGGTCACATGTAGAATTGTATAAAGTTACCTGTGTAGGTTTAGTTCGATACATAATTATTCAGCAGCCAATTACATAAGTACTGGCTGACGATCCTATAAATCTAGTGATCCCATATCTACATAGAGCCTTGAGTATCCAGCGCATAGCCTTCAGAATAATAGGTGAAATGACTCATAATAATTCAACACTGCAGTGCGTCATCGATTCTGATTCGGCACTTCACTGATTTGATAATTTCTAGAGCCTGATTTGGGACTCATCATGGAGTATGATTCGGTTAGAAAGTAAAAGTATAATCCCAATTGATAACAGGGAAATTCGGGGCCTGGTCGTACTGGCAGCTAGTACGGTAGTCAGGTCTAATATCACGTTGGTCCTGTCTATCACGTTAAAGTGAAAGTGATCTTGGCGGGCGCGTCAATCTCTTGGCAAGGGGCTCGCGTTCTCACACGCTTAATTTTCCGCCGCGCTGTCAACCCTAACCCATAAGATTTACAGACGCGACAACCTTAAGGGCCAACAAGCTCACGTTGGCACCCAAGGAGGAGGTTTGAAACACAGAAACCTGTCAATTACATGTATACACCTCATTACCATACCTTCACGATTATTGATCTACGATTCTCATCTATAGGCTCAACTAATACACACATCACTGCTATCACCATCTCACTTGTGCCCGCGCACCCCCTTCATCCATTCCTCAATCTATGGCTTCACGACCACGGGGAACAAACTTTCGGGGCCGCGGTGGCTCTCGAGGCGGTAAAGGCGGCGAATTTGGCTCCGGTGTAAGAGCGGGCGGTCGGTATAAGAAGACGAAAACGATCGATGCGAAGTCACTACTAGCTACGGATGGAACGTCGGTGGAGGAGAAGTTTGAGAATACGAGGCTTGCCAATGAAATCGATGATAGGATGGGATTTGAGCGATTCGAGTCTGGGTCTAGAAAGATCGGATGGTTGATCAATATGCATGCGGTGAGTTTGGTACTTGAAAACAATGGGGGAGCCATGCCCGGAGGTGCTTGGGGGCTAATTGAACCGTGTGATAGACGACGATTGAAGACGACCAAGTCATAGGTGGGAAGGCAGGGATGGATTACTATTTTCTAGACGATTTCGGAGGCTCATTCAAAGCTACTGTCATGTACGATCCATATTTCTTGATCGCGACGAAGGTATGGAGGTCAAGGACCCCGATTCAAATTATGATAGAACACTGATAGTATATTCCCGCGGTTATAGCTCGGCTTTGAAGGAGAAGTAGAAGAATGGCTACGCCGAAAGTTCGAGGGTGTCATCAAAAAGATGTCTCGATTAACGAAAGAGGATCTGCAAATGCCAAACCATCTGCTAGGCTACCGGCGGACATTCATAAAGCTAGAATTTGATAACGTATCGGAATTGCTTTCCGTGCGGAAAGTTCTTATGCCCATAGCGGAGAAGAATAAAAAAAATATTAATGCTATGGATGCTTATGCGGAGATTGTCAGGTTTGCTCTCCTCCGTTTCATCGGCCCATTATATATGCTGATTATCTTTCATTAAGTGCAAATTCTGGCTTCGATTTCCTTGATGACGGTACAGATCGAAAAACGACTGCAACTATAGACGCCAGTGAATATATAATCGACATCCGAGAGTATGATGTTCCGTACCATGTCCGTGTAGCTATCGACCTTAGTAAGATACTTGACCCTCATACCGAGAAAAATCTTAACACAACGGGTTACAGATATCCGAGTCGGTCGCTGGTACAATGTTGAAGCAAAGCACGGGGTAGTCTCACTCTCCCTTATTGAGGACCGTTTAAAGCGTGCGGAGCCTGTGGTTATGGCTTATGACATCGAAACTACTAAACTCCCCTTGAAATTCCCTGATGCAGTAATTGACCAAATTATGATGATATCATACATGATTGAAGGTCAAGGGTTCCTCATTACCAATCGAGAAATCGTCTCACAGGATATCGAGGATTTTGAATACACCCCTCGCCCAGAATACGAGGGTCAATTCATCATCTTCAACGAACCTGACGAGAAGGCTGTAATTGAGCGCTTTTTTGAGCATATCAAGGAGGCAAAACCCACAGTAATGGTGACATATAACGGAGACTTCTTCGATTGGCCGTTTGTCGAGGCAAGAGCCAGTCTATTAGGAATTGATATGTACACTGAAATTGGGTTCCGAAAGAATAGTGAGGACGTGTACCAGAGCAATTACTGTGCGCACATGGATGCGTTTTCATGGGTAAAAAGAGATTCATATCTACCACAAGGAAGTCAGGGCCTCAAAGCGGTTACGACTGCAAAGTTGGGATATGACCCAGACGAGTTAGATCCAGAACTTATGACGAGGTTTGTTAAATCTTCTACTACCTCGTTTAGTCTAATCGAACTGACTGCAAGTGGAAAGATATGCGATAGAAAAACCGCAGACTTTAGCAGAGTACTCAGTTTCCGATGCTGTGGCAACATATTACCTCTATATGAAATATGTGCACCCGTTCGTCTTCTCGCTATGTACAATTATTCCATTAGGTCCGGATGATGTGTTGAGAAAGGGTACGGGAACGTTATGTGAGATGTTATTGATGGTAAGTAGGGAAATATTCAAATCATGATATCTCACTCGCTTATGTTTTCCAAATTATACAGGTACAAGCATACCTCAAGGATATTGTTCTGCCGAATAAACATAAACAAACAGAAGAGGCTTTCTATGAGGGACATTTACTAGAGTCAGAGACATACGTGGGAGGGCACGTCGAGTCTATTGAGTGTGGTATATTTCGTTCTGATCTGCCAGTGAATTTTGTGATTGATACGAAAGCGATCGATGATGTGAGTTTGTTGTCTAATATCAACGTCCCCGCAACTTTAATAATCTAATGATGAATATAGTTAATACGAGACCTGGATGCCGCTCTATCCTTTAGTATTGTTGTAGAAGAGAAGAAAAAGGTGGAGGATGTCACGAACTACGAGGAAGTCAGGAACATATTTTTCCATCTGAAAATACATATGCTTACTATAAAGTATCTACAGATAAAAGAACAGATTAAATCCAGACTCATGAAGCTTAGAGAGGTCCCGATAAGGAACGAACGGCCCTCGATCTATCATTTAGACGTAGCCTCTATGTACCCAAACATCATGACTACAAATCGTCTTCAGCCTGACTCTATGATCCAAGAGTCCGACTGCGCAGCCTGCGATTTCAACCGTCCTGGAAAAACTTGTGATCGACGATTACCCTGGGCCTGGCGTGGCGAATACCTTCCTGCAAAACGCGACGAATATAACATGATTAAGCGTGCGCTCGAGAATGAGCGTTTCCCGCCAAGGTATCCAAACCAGCCGGCAAGAACCTGGGATGACCTTTCGAGTGAGGACCAGTCGAATGCTATAAAGAAGCGATTGCAAGAATATTCAAAGAAAATCTACCATAAGATTCATGAGAACAAGACAATTGAAAAGGAAGCCATTATCTGCCAACGCGAGAATCCTTTCTATGTGGACACGGTAAAGGATTTTCGTGATCGTCGGTATGACTTCAAAGGGCAGCAGAAGGTCTGGAAGCGCAAGACAGATGATCTTGCATCTTCCGGTGCAACAGCTGGAGAAATCGACGAAGCCAAGAAAATGGTGATTCTATTTGACTCACTTCAGCTTGCACATAAAGTCATTCTCAACTCTTTCTATGGTTATGTTATGAGAAAGGGATCTCGATGGTATTCGATGGAAATGGCCGGTGTAACTTGTCTTACTGGTGCACACATCATCCAGATGGCTAAGGAGTTGGTTGAACGAATAGGGAGACCATTGGAATTGGATACCGATGGTATTTGGTGTATCCTCCCAGCCACATTTCCAGAGAACTTTGCGTTCACTTTGAAGGGTGGAAAGAAACTTCCGATTTCTTATCCTTGTGTCATGTTGAATCATCTTGTCCATGCGAAATTTACGAATCATCAGTACCAGGAGCTTAAGGATCCGAAAACATTCAGATACGAGACACATAGCGAAAACAGTATTTTCTTCGAAGTAGATGGTCCGTACAGAGCTATGATCTTGCCCACATCAAAGGAAGAAGACAAAAATTTGAAGAAACGTTACGCCGTTTTCAACCATGACGGGAGCTTAGCAGAATTGAAGGGATTTGAAGTCAAACGCCGTGGTGAATTAAAGCTTATCAAGATTTTTCAGTCTCAGATCTTCAAGTTCTTTCTGGAGGGTACCACCCTAACAGAGTGTTATGAAGCGGTTGCAAAGACTGCCAACAGGTGGCTAGACGTGCTTCATCAACGCGGTTCTACCTTAGCCGACGAAGAGCTTATCGACTTGATTTGCGAGAACAGGAGCATGTCAAAGACTCTTGCAGAGTACGGCTCCCAGAAATCAACGTCTATTACCACGGCAAAAAGGCTGGCTGAGTTCTTGGGGGAGCAGATGGTGAAAGATAAGGGGTTAAATTGCAAATATATTATTTGTTCAAAACCCAGGGATGCTCCAGTTACGGAGAGAGCTATCCCAGTTGCCATTTTCTCTGCAGAGCTGTCCGTGAAGCGACATTTCTTGAGGAAATGGTTGAAAGAGGAACCTAGCGATATGGATCCACGAGCACTCCTTGATTGGAACTACTATCTCGAGCGTTTGGGATCTGTCATCCAGAAACTCATTACCATCCCAGCCGCGCTCCAAAAAGTGCGGAACCCAGTACCGAGGGTTGCTCATCCTGAGTGGCTACAAAGGCGGATTAACATCAAAGACGACAAATTCAAACAAAAGAAAATGACAGATATGTTTGGAAAAAGAATTGCTCCAGTGAACGAGGTTGCGAGCAGTTTACAAGCTACCAGCCTAGGCGACATGGAAGACTTTGGCAACGCATCTGTAGCAAAGCCAATGTTGGTCGGGACTGCTATAAGACTTCAAAAGAGGAAAGCTCCAGAGAGCGTTGTGCCGAACGATCCATTTGCTAGTCTGCCTGAAATCATGCCTTTAATGACCGAAGATTATCGAGGATGGCTGCAGTACCAGAAGAAGAAGTGGAAACTGCAGAGGCATGCCAGGATGAGACGGAAACAACTGTTTGGTGATAGGAGCGGCCCGCAGAGCGATAAATTAGGGACCTTCTTCAGAAATCAGACAGAGTCAATGCTTTCGGGCACTTGGGAGATTCTACAGCTCAGGGCCACTGATATGCCTGGTGAAATTCGAGCTTTTATCTTGGTCGATAAAAAGGTTGTTACTTTAAAGATCAAGGTGCCGCGCCAAGTATTCATCAATTTCAGAAACGATGATCTTCCCCGGGTTGTTGTGAATGGATGCACAATTGAAAAAACGAATCACATTCTTCCCAATGGACATCCATCGACCAACCTTTCTAAGCTCACGGTTCCTGAAGACACATTCATCCAAGAAGCCAAAGCATTCTCTATCATCTTCAACCACCCTAGTGTGGAAGGTGTGTATGAAACACAAGTACCACTAGAGACTCGAGCTCTGTTGGAGTTGGGTAACAATTGTACCTTTGATGATACTCAGATAGGTGTTCTTGGGAAAGGTCTTGAACACGGATTTGAATTATCGACACTCAAGGCAAAGGTTGGCACTAAACCTTACCTCCATGAGAGCCCGCTAGAATTTGGTTTCCTATATCACGTAATTGCTGGGGACCGACAAATCTTTGGACTTTTCTCGACTGCAAAAGACGAAGCCCATGTACTCGTTTATAATACCACCCGAGACGCACAAAATCTGCCGAATATGGAAAAAATATACGCTGAACAATTCTCCCGGAGATACAAAGAACAGAATGGCCATTGGCAAACTTCATTTGATTACCCTGAGACGCTACGCTTCGATATATCGTACGTCAACACGAAAAAGAAACTACAGAAGGGGTTGAGTGATCTCGTTAAGAAAGTTCGCTCCGAAGAGTCGAAACCGACAGTCTTAGTCATTCAATCTTCGCAGAGACGAACCTTAGTGGAAAGTGTACCTGCTTTAAATGATTTTCCGATTTTATCACTACGCTCAGATGCTTCTGACAGCAATCTTCCGCCCTTGGGCTGGCAAACTTTTGTGGCAAAGCGTATCGTTACTCGTTACCTAGCCCTGGGATCCTGGATCTCTGATTACATGGAATTGGCGCGTTATGGTGATGTTCCAATCTGTAATCTCGAGAAAGATGACCCTAGCTATTTAATTGATGTTGCCTATGCTCGGCGATTACAAAAGAATAATGTTGTGCTTTGGTGGTCTCCTTCACCAAAACCAGATCACGGTGGGTATGAGAAGGATGATATTGTTGGAGCCTTCGAAACGGTGGAAATGCCCGCTATCAACAATCCAGGCTCTTATTCCTCAGTCTGCATCGAAATCGACGTTCGGAACCTCGCCATCAACACCATCCTTACCTCCTCCTTGATCAATGAACTTGAAGGGAGTGACTCTGTGTCCTTGAACCCAGCAGCACCCACCGATGAAAATCCAAGTGACGGAACTAATGTAATATTTGCCGATAATGCATTTGCGACAGCCGGCGTCACTGTACTACGTGAGATGGTGAAAGCATGGTGGGCGGAAGCTTGCAAAGGGAACCACACAGCGGACGTCATGGTTCAGCATCTGGTGCGATGGGTCGAGAATCCAGGTTCTTTTCTATACGATCGAGCCCTACATTACTATGTTCAAACAATGTCGAAAAAGGCGCTCTTGCAATTAATGACAGATTTTCGCCGGGTTGGATCGAACGTTGTTTTTGCAAACGCGAACAAGCTTCTGGTCCAGACAACAAAAGCTGATGTAGGCAACGCATTCGCCTATAGTGAGTACATCATAAAATCTATCCGGGCGAAGCCGCTATTCCATTTCCTAGATCTTGAAATCAAGGAGTACTGGGACTACCTCGTATGGTATGACGAGGTAAACCATGGCGGTAAAGCCTGTCAAAATATCGAGGAGGATAAAATTGAACAACCACTCAACACGATAATGCATTGGCAATTTGCAAAGTTTTTACCCGAGGCCCTTCAGAATGTTTTCAACGAGTGGGTAGTTGAGTTTGTTGAGATCATGTACAAGCAGAAGCACCCAGAACCTTCAGGATCCGATCCGTCAACCCCTAGACCTACACAAATCTACTTCAAAGTTTCAGAGGACGAGAATAGTGACAAGATTGTTCTTGGAAAGGAGTTCTCAAAACCATTGCGGAAACAAATTGGTCAATTGATTCGCCGACTTCAAGAATCGATGCTCCATTCAGAACCTGACGTCGACTTTGAATTTCCTTCTTTGCCTGGCGCATACAAGCCGCTCAAGAACCCAGTTCTGCAATTGGTCCGGTGTCTAACAGCGGTTTTTGGCCTAGCAAAGGAAATAAATCTCGAAGCACGCATGCTAAGGAAAGAGCTCCTCGGCATGTTCGACGTCAAAGAATTTAGCAAGGAGGGTATCTTTGAGAATCCTAGCGAGTCATTAAAGTTTTCTCAAGTTGTTTGTTCCAGTTGTACGATGACCCGAGATATGGATCTCTGCAAGGACGAGGACTTGATACCAGATATGGTAGGTGAAGGAGCACATGCCCGAGAGAAAGCGTGGAAATGCCTCTTTTGCGGGACAGAATTTGATAGACTGGCATTCGAGGAAAAGATGATTGGACAGTTGCAGCAAATGATTACGGCTTACAATGCCCAGGATCTCAAGTGTGGCAAATGCAAGCAGCTCAAAGCAAACGACTTTCAAGAGCACTGTGCTTGTTCAGGGGCGTGGGTTTTGACGATGGAAAGGGAGCCGTTGGTGAAACGTTTGAACGTGTACAAGAGTGTTGCAGATTTCTATTCTTTCAGAATGTTGTTGGACGTTGTCGATGAGATAATCGCTGGCATATGAGGTTATGCTGTTGGGAAAAAAACGGAAAAGATGTAAAAGGTGTATGATTCGGAAACGGCTGGTTGTAGCATCTTGGGACGGCGTTTATCTGATTTTTTCCCCTTTATTTCCTACTCTATAATTATTTAAATTGATTAGACATGTTATCACGATATCTTATGAGCATGATACTAGGCTCTTTATCCAGATATTTCCAGCCCTGGTCCACACAGTGTAGTTATTTTCTAAGCTTACCATTTTGATTACTACTTATAAGTATTGCCCTGAACCAAGATTGAGTTCTTGGTCAGTCATACAAAGTACGTAGTACATCTAACGTACTACGGTAAGTACTCATGTAAGTACGTCTTGGTCGTATCTATTAAAGGAATGAGAGTCTTACCAAGAAGGTGATATTACAACTTATCAATACTAGTATATAGTGTGTAGAGTACAAAGTAGTAGAAATGATCTAGTCTCGCGAGTATTCCCCACTTCGGTGTGGTTTTTTGAAGTATATTTAGTGTTAGAAACCACCACTAGACACAGTAGATGTAGCAGCGGACCTCCAACTAACAGCTATTTTGAAAATTGATGAAATTTGTTTATTTGGAGTCCTATATCACAAGCTCGGCTGGTCTAGTGGTATGATTCTCGCTTAGGGTCGCACTCTAAGTTAATATGCGAGAGGTCCCCGGTTCAAACCCGGGGTCGAGCCTAACACAATCCTGTCCCTTCATTAGGGTTGGATTCAAACCTTTTTATTATCGATTGGTTTTCTTGGGTAAAACTATTAAATTAAAAAATCAATCGAGATTGCTTGGTTGGTTGTGTCTTTTGGACATAGTCACCAAGTAACCTCCTCTACGTCTACTTCGATTCACATACAGTACGTCGATTAAGTAAGGAATGATGTGCCCTAGGGATTAACATCATTGGCTCATGCTCTTTCCTTCACATAGAGGTTTCCTGGGAAGCAGATCTGTGGGTGCGCAGAGTACATACATGTATGTAGAGCAAAGTACGTACGCGCGTACCTACATTCTTGAATTTTGTCAATTTAATTTAGGGGTTTTAATCGGTATCTGTCACGATCACCCTGCAGTCCTATTTTATTTTCAGAGATCGAAGTCGCCCTTGATTGACTTCCTAGAGCAGTTCTACTACGGACAACTGCTATTACCAAACATGTGGTGCTTTCCCGGAGAAAGGAGTAAGACTACTAAGAAGAGTGCTAGGGAATCACCCACCGTACTCGGAGGAAGGTTTGGGAGAAAATTTTTCGGTGACATATTTAATTTTAGGCGTTTGCGTTTGGTCATAACCTATCACTCGGTTTATCGGGCGGTGGACCCAAAGTTCAGCTCTAATAAACCGACCCCACGCACTGCGGCACCCTAAACACAACACCCATGAATTTAGATCATGATGATGTTAGCTAGGGCTGAAGGTAACAGATTCTGCAAGTAGTAGCGGTTGGTTGCATGCTTTCTCAGAGACGTATGTTTATGCAAGTGGATTTGGCATCTCAAACACACACAACACATACATGAAGTAGTTACATAACACGTGCATAGCCCACTTTCGCCCTTTAGTGTGCATTACCGAATACCGAGACCAAAAGTGTTGAAATGCAAGATCGCTTGAAACCTCTGTATCATTGGTCCTCTTAGTAATCATGCGCAGTGAGACTTATCAACCCTATCAAAACTCTATCTGGGAGCTTATCAGAACCTCAGGGTTCATGATCGAGGCTGAGAGAAAAAGTTTATTTTTCTCCAAAAAGTAATCCCTATCTAGAGTACACATCATTCCGGTGATCTTTGTCAACTGCAGGATTAGTCTATCCGGCACCCTGGTACTTTTCCTTTTATCTTCAGCGAACCGGGTCCGGCTGTGATGGGTTTTGCTGTTCAGTACAACAATAGTATCAGCATAAGTGATGAATTCTTAGTCCATATGACCATATGCAGGGTAAAAGTTGATCAGAGCTGAGAACCCTTCACTTGCTCGTGAGATTCTGATTCTGGAAGAAGTGCTGCAAAGTTTTCAATTATACGTACCATGCGATAATGTGAAAGACATCGGTGGGATCATATTTTAGCTTCTGATGTGAGAAAAAGTAGTTTATGCACTTCTACAGACTACATGCATGCAATCCGGTAATCAAACCAGTCAAAATTTCGGACACGATCACGCCCAAAACGAAACCAAACCAAACCATACGCCTCATTGTAATATTCTCACACCCTCAAACCTTGAGTTCACCCAGCATGACCTCTAAATCTCCCTCATTCTCTCCAACCGCCTCTACCGCCTCTATCGCTCCTGCCTCCTTAGCCTCTCTATATGCCTGCGCCACAATCTTCATGACATCCTTCTGTGGCACCCCCGGGTTTTGCGCCTTGATCCGCCCAAAATTCTCTTTCACGAACGCTTGATACCCGGTAATAGGCCTTTTCTCTCGCAGCGGCGGGTGCGTCTGCAATAACAATCCTCTCTTACAGGCGCCGCATCTAGAGCGTGTGATATCAATGGACTTTGAGTGTCGCTTGTAGACCTGCCCGCAATTAGGCGTCTGACAGGTCCACTTGAACTTTGCGTCAATCTCATAACTGTGCTTGGTTGTGACATGGACACCGAGGTGCGCAAACTCGCGCGTGGCCCTTGCGGCCCATCGCTTGAACTCGGTGCCGTGGGCAGGCTTGGTGACATTGCTGATCATGTAGTTTGCCATATGGCAGTACTCATGGCACATTGTGTTGTACAATTTTTCTATGTGGACCGTCAGCTTTCGGTCAGGTCAGGACATTAGTAGAAGCATTTGTGACGAACCTTGGCTATCGACGACCTTCTCGGCCAGCTCGATAGTAGCATGGTGTCGCACCCGTGCAGTGGACAGTGGATGCTCCATCGCCGCGCTGGCGGAGATATTTTGCAGCTTCTCAGCCCGCCATTTTGCAGTCCCAGCGGTGGTACGGAGCGTCTTGCTCCATACTATCTTAACGCCGCCTGTAGCGGCAGTCTTTTGTGATATCTCGCCCTTGCCAACTTTCTCATCAATAGTCTTGAAGAAGTCTTCCGCGAGCTGCTTTTTGCGGGCATTGAAGGCCCATTTTGACTCTGTATTCTTCTCCTTGGGCTTCAGCTTTGCCGCGGGCATGCGCTTTGTAGGCGACGGGGCCCGCTCTTCGTCGCTTTCTTCTTCATGGTAATCATCATCTTCAACTTCTACAATATGATCATCATCATCGTCGTCGTCGTCGTCGTCGTCGTCGTCGTCTCCGCCTTTCTCGGCGATTATATCTACATCATTATGGCCTCGACTGCTTGGTGATCCAGTGCGAACTTTATACGGCGTATGAGTATCAACCCAGCTGTCGGTGATCTCCTGATCCCAGAATGCGTCACTACTTTTGCGGTGTTGCGAAGGCGGCATCTTTGGTAGGAGCTTTGTGTGGGAATTGAGCTTGCGAAGTGGGGTCGGTGCTTCCTTTAATTTTAGGGCCACCGGTGGTATCATCTTCCGCGGTTTTGTAGAGCGCGGCGGTGAGCTGTGAAATACTGTTAGGTACTACAAAGAACTGCTTCTGGAGTTTGAGAACGTACTACCGCAGTGTGAAGCTCTCAAGGTCATCTCCAGAGGAAATCGTTTGAGGTACTGTAGTTGCCTGAGGTGCTTGAGACGCCGGAGGCCGACTACGTGAAGGTTGGGAGGGTGCATCTTCTGAATCGGAGCCTGTGAGGTCTACAAAGCTCCGTCGTAGCTTCTCTAATTCCCTCCTTTCTTCATCGCTATCGTCGTCGCTGCTGGGTAGGTATTTTTTCTGTATGAGGCGTCGTCGCCTGGGCGCTGGTGTAGGTTCTGCTACAGTCACTTCCTCAACCGCAGATGCGTAGTCTTGGGAATATGTCAAGGAATATGAAATTAGTTATTTTGCCCTATATACAAAGAATGACAAATAATCTACAGGCATGTTATTACAAACCCGAATCGTCTTCTGCCGCCGGCGTGGTGGATATCACCGCTTCTACATGCCCGCCATCCCACTTCTTCTGTCTCCCAGCCACCGCTGTCGTGGTAGCAGCTTTTCTAATTTGCTTTTTAGCCGTAGCAGCGGTGGCTTCTTTTGGAAGTCGTCGGGATGTATCTAGATTCCCTGCCGTCGCAATCTTTGGAACCTTCGACTGAGACTTCTTCTTCGTCGTCTCCCGGGGTGGAGTCGCTGGATCAAACAGGGTGGCCGGCGGGAGGCTCTGGTTCGGCGTAATTTCCCTCCCTTTCATTACTAAGCTCTGCTCGAGGAGCAGCTGTAGGTCCGGGAGCTCATCGCTAGAGTAGTCAATGCCAGGATCGGACATGGTAGCTTGCTTGCTGGTAGCCAGTAATGTAGTGAAGATAATATGGCGAGCTTGTTCTCTTGGGCTGGGTTCCGAGCTACGAGGGGTTTTTTTTTCAATTCCAGTTGTGAACGTGTTGTAGTACACGATACGGCAACGTCAACAAGGTTCGAAGTGGGTCGTCCGCACGTGATAAGGTTGCTGTAGCAACAAGCGGCTTGTCAGGGGCCAGTGAGCGTTCCTGAAACTAACCTCAGTAACTTCCCGTGTTAGGCTTCTGGAGCTGGCAGCAGCACCTTCTTTCCCTTCTGCCGGAGCCTCCCGTTCCTCGAACGCGATTGGAACGGTTCGGTGGGCCATACTCTGGGAGCCTAATCTGCGGTTCGCTATCGTACCTAAATCTAAATAACAGGGAGACTGGTTGTCCTAACTTCTCCCCGATTCTGCTACGGAGATCGCGATAGCCAGATAGTAAAAGCTAAAAAAAAAAAAAAAAATTGGGTTTCACTGGCTTCGCTATCTGTGATTCACGGTGAACCAGCGAGCGAACGGACAGGCAAGACATGCCACGTCCGAACAGCGTGTGAGACCTGTTCCTACTGTAACTGCGACGTACCTACAGCAAAGCTTGTAGGCGTAGGCAGAGGCATGTACCAAAGGTACAAAAAAATAAAATAAAAATCTGCAAAGCTAGAGATGTATGTAGAGTCGATAATACTCTCTCATACATATCTTGAAGTTGCTTCACCTACAGTCTGAGCGCTAGTATACGTATCATCCGTGCATCACGAATCTCCCTCCAAACGGAGCCCAGACGAGATGCATCATCCCGTCCTGGCCACTAAAAAAAAAAAAAATACGCATGCATGCATTTTACAGCACTCTCTAAAATACCCCCGTGGGAGGAGGGAGAGAAGGGAGTGAGTGGGACTGGAGGTGTGCTACGTAGGGTTCATTTCGGACAAAGGAGCCGCTCCGATCTGCCAACATTCCAGAAGGGGGAGAGTCGCGCGCTAAGGTCTCAGAAGGGGGCTTTTCCCTGTTGATGGGATCTGTGACCCTGAGTCACAGAAAGTGGGTCTGCGACACAGGGAGGTTGTAGTACTAGTGGTAGCGAAGAAACTCACATCTGTTCAAAAGTAGTGTATTCCCACGATTTATATTTACGACAACGGATGAGTGCTTCCTGAATCTACAATCACCAATTGGGCCAATTCTCATACTTATTTCGTGTTATACTGCCTCTTCCTCCTCCACCCCGGCTATAAACCTTTTCTAGCAGAAACAACTAAGGTTCTACGCCGTTCGTATTGAGATTGACGTTCCTACCCCATCATCAGCACTATCACAGCTTCGTGGAGGCATAAGGAGCTCGTATCAAGCAATAAACCCCCTAAGCATGGCTTGTTTCTTTGTAAACAACCTTTACCACGCATAACCCCCCGGGCAAATCCCCCACTGTGCCTCTGCCAACACCACTCACTGCAAGGTACCCGATACTAGGAATGAAGCCCCAGTACCTGGGAGTAGATGGATTGTTTCCAGCTCAAAAGGTAGGTGGTAGAGGTAGGCGGTGCAAAGCAACGCTAAACAACGCGCGGCCCCCACACGTACAAGCCACCGCCGGATAATAAACAAATCAAACGCTTTGACGCCGCGACCACCACTTCCCAGCCAACCGGGTAGGATGGGATGGTTACAAGGTAGGGTTGGGTTGGTCAGAACGTGCCGCTTGACGGGGGCGGTATCTTTTTCTTTCCGTGAAAGTACCTACATACCTGTGGTTGAGCCTCAGGTGTGCAGAATAATGTGTAAAGTGACCCTGGGTAGCGTACATACGTGCTGCGTAAGGCTGATGGTCAACGAGAACTCTGAACAATGGCGGGTATTCTTAGATACTATTCTATCTACACCCTATCCTAGACCACTATGGCTATGGCATTTGAGATTAAAGGCACTTGTCGCTCAGCATCATAGCACGTCACTCGGAGATTAATGCACTTTACTAAATGCACTTCGTTCGTGTAAGGGCAAAGTGCACTTGACCCTCGAGCTTCTAGAAGTACGCACAGGTCTTCTTGAGACAGATTTGGTACCAGTGTTAACTCATACAAGGCTTACAGATACCGCTTTTTGGTGCCCGATCCTCAATGGCATGTCACGTTCGATCGCTCACTTCCAGTAAGTTGGGCAGGGACAATAAGAGCAAAGGAATTGTCTAATAAAACCGTACCACGTACATACATGTACAGTTGGTAATTCTTTTTTAGTGAATTTTTTGTATAATAACAGTCTCCAGCTACAGGAGAGCAATGCAAAACAAAATCAATTAACAAGAATAAAATGTAAGAAAACCTAGAAATAACCCAACGCAAACAAAATGTCTCGCATGACCCTCAGGTCATTTTCGACCAAAATGCCGCCAGAAGTCTGTACACATCCATCCGTATTAAGTACAATATCATTAAACGAGAACCAAAGCAACACCACCAAGCATGGCGACAAGCATAGAGGCGCCAATCTTGAAAGCGCCGACAGAGACGGTAGGAGCAGAGACAGAGCCTGCAGCATTAGCATCGGATGATGTAGATGATGTAGTCTTGGCAGTAGATGAAGGCAATGAAGTAACAGTTCCAGTACCAGCAGTTCCACCAGCTTCCGAGAGAAGAGTTGAACAGCTACCCGTAGCAGTAGCAGCAACCTGGGTAGTCCCACTCCCACTGAAACTGCAAGAGTCAGATGAAGATGAGTTCTCCTCATAATATGCGTTCATGGCCCATGCCAAGCGCTCAAGAGGACTGCACATAGAATATGCGCCGTATACACCAGTAGTTCCGTTGGCAATGATACCAGCGCAGTCAATACCAGCATCTCCACAGATGTAACTGAAAAGATCAGCTGCGTCTGTGTCCTTAACCGAAGAAGCAGCGACACAACTCAAAGAAGACAACATGCAAGTGCAAAGTTCCTTGTTGGGTGTAGGTGGGAGATCAGTGGCAGCGGACCAATCAGCATCGCTAGTGGGGCACGAGCGGGCAGCAGTGTTGGTTGGAGTGTAAGATGCCATCTCAACGCCGGTAGGGGTGACCTTTGCAAGCTCAGTCTTGAGGTTGTTAAAGTCGGTCAAAGTCTTAGCATCGCCGTTAGATTCGATGGTGACAAGACCTTCAAACGTATTAGCAATGAGATAAGATTGGTGGGCTGGGGACGATTTTTACCATAATTGTTTGTCTCCTCGAAATACATGTAAACGATACCACCAGACCAGACAGATGTCATGTTCTTGCCGTAGATAGCTTCAACTTCAGTAAAGGGACGTGGTTGAACCTCCTAAAGGCATGTTAGCTCTGTAAGGATGTAATCAAGCGGTTTACGTAGAGTGTAAATACATTACAACCGTACTCGGCAAAGAAAGAGGGGACATTGTAGGTTTCAAACTCAGTTGTGCGAACATCATAACCAGACTCGGTGTATGAGCTATCGCCGCACCAAGAGTAGATGTTGTAACCCCAGAAATCCACACTATCACTGGCATCTCCACAGTTGAAATAATCTGCCAGTTGTGTGCGAATACCAGCGTCGTCGTTGGTTGCATATCCGACAGGAATATCGCGATAGCCCGAACTGCTAATGTATTGCTTCATGTCGCGCACGGCTGCCTTGACGAAAGGGGAAGCATTAGTGTTGGAAGCATTATTAGAGACCTCGTTACCGGCAAAGAAGCCAAGAACGTTGGTATGATTGGCTAAAGCGTCAATAACTGAGGTGTAGCGTGTGTAGAGCGTGTCGTCCCAAACTGGAGAGTCACGGTTGATAGATTGACTTGGCTCACTCAAATCGCTCACAACATAGATGCCAGCATCATTAAGCAATTGCATGCATTCTGTGTGATCGGCAGTAGTGTCGATGGCGTAGACACGAATGACGTTGGTACCAAGCTCTTCAAGCAATGGGACATCTCTCTTGCAGCCATCGGCATCTGCCAACGGATCCACAAAAGTATCAGTTGCACTAGAGTTTGTGACAGAGCCTTGGTAGGCAACACCTCTCATAAAGCTAAAGTTTAAAAGCAGAGTCAGTCAATCAAGTGCATTTGCATTTGCATTTGCATACATGTACATGTATGTACAATGTATAGAGTATATAAAATATATCTAGGTGAAACTTACAATTGTGTTCCATTACTTTTGAAAAAGAATTCTACCAAGGAAAAGTGAAACCTCTATTAGCCAGTACTCTCGGCGGAATAAATCGAGGGGTATAGAGGACTTACTGCTCCCCTTGATGACAATGGGGTCCAAATCAGCAGCGGAAACGGTTGAAACGAGGGCACTGGCTACCACAGCCAAGGAGGTAAATGATGGAGTCTTCATCTTTAATCAAGATAACAACTACCACTGTTTATCGGAAGCCAAGAATGTCCGAGGACTGGTTGATGCAATAAGTGTTGTGGCTTAAGGTGATACTGGCCAAAATAGGGGATGACAGGCAGCCAAGATCACGAACAGAGAAAACGGCAGTGCTGTGCTACAAAAAGGCAAAAGACCAAGACAAAAAAAGCCCAAACGCAAGCACACAACAACGGCACAAGAACTGAGCGGGTGATAGCGAGTGTGTGGAAAAGATACTTGTGATACGAAATTGACGAGAAGGAATGTCGAGAAGATGTAAGAAACACACACACACTGGAAAGGAATGTAGAGAAAGATGAGAGAAGAATGTCACTACTTGGCGGGAAGCAGCACTCTTTGAATGCCTCTGGATAAAGATGCCGAACTGTGTACGCGTAAGTCTAACAGATCCCAAACTTCAAATGTCAAATTACGCTAGCTACAGAGAGATTTAGAACCATTGAGAGTCTAGGATATTCAGGAGCAGGTAACATGCAATTGCACCTCTCGCATGACATGCCGGCTCTTCCAGGAGGATCGCTGTCGTTTCCGTCCTTCGTTGAAACCGGCTGCTCCTTTGGCTTGTCATCAATCAGGGTTACTTGCTAAACAGATGCTGAACCGGTTGGTGGGGCAAAACCGTTTGTGACCGAGACATGGACCTAGCGCACTCACATGTTTTAGGTACTTTCTGATCTCTTATCTTCAGTGTGGACCCAAATTGTAAATAATGAATCAGATAAAATTTGAATCGATAACCGGAGTGTTTTCTGTGCTCCACTACAGTCATGGACCAGTGCCAAAGTCGCTTATTCGCTTGATGTATGTACTCATACGGAGACCATAATCGCTTTTGGCGAAGCAGTCTCTCCCAATCATTCTCTCACTGGGCTGCAGGTCCATCCAGCGTGGTTCAAAACTTCCCGTGCCAAGATGACGTGGGACACTTCTCTTGCTGTAAGTATTTATAGAAATCGTGAGCTTTCCTTGCTGGATGTCTGGTCTGATTCTTTGTAGAAGTGTTACAGCAGGTACTCTACAAGTATAGTCGGTACTCTTGAGTAAGTATTATCTTGAGTAGTAAAGGAATAACACATATCTTCACTCCAGGAGGCATTGCTAAAATTCCAAAGGTTCAAGTAGTCTTCTACCTACGCTCGATGTAAGTAGGTACTGTATTCAGCCCTCGTTGATATTGATTGCTTCTTGCCACCGAAAGTGATGATCGAGCGCAGGCTATGAGGTCTGAGAGAGCTCAGGCCTGGCCACTCTTGCCACACCAAATGAATAGTAGGTACAGACAGTACCACCAATCCAAGTCTATTCTTGAAACAAGAAATAACCCCTGCTGCTGCAGGATACTTCCAATCATACGGAGGGTTTCCCCTGGAAGCCTATCTTTCGGGAAATGGAAGCGCCGGGCCTCGACAGATCGGGAAGCCCAAGAAGAGGTATTTCGAAACTTGAACCATATCCTGGTTCTGGAAAACAAGGAGCCCAGAGCCCGTGTATGAGTTTTCTGGGAGCTGCCGCTGATACTGGAAGGGGAAAGTTGGTTATCGTGTGGACAAGGACCAGTATGTAGGATAGAGCACTAAGAAGTAGACTCGTAGATTCATGTATGCAAATAATGAGTGGGCATGGGGGGGAGGGGGGGAAGGTGCCGTCCGTGACGAGACTCTCCGGGAGGCTTTTTTATTGCATTCGGCAGCGGAATCTGTATTGGCCACACACACGCACATCTTCCCTGTCCGTGTCGTGCCTGTTGATTGATTGCCTACTGTTCCTCATGCTGCGTCTCCTTTAGTTTTTTTGCCTTCCCCTTTCCTGCCAATTCCCAAGCTCTTTATTCATCGGCCTTTGCATCCATCCACCCCTTCCTCTTTTCTTCTACTCTCTCCTCTACCCTCTCCCCTTTTCTCTTACACTCCCTCATCTGCTCCCAACTTACGACACTCGCTCTCCCCTCCCTATTCTTCCGCTGGCGAAGGATAGGTACCTACATCCCTATTAGATCCATTCCGCTCAGAAAGGGAATCTATATAATAATAATAGTGTGGTACTTCAATCTCACGAAATTGCCTGCCCTCTTTTGACTGGAGCCTCCAAGCTGTAAGTAACCCCCCCAGTGCCCCTCTCCCGAGGAAACAGAACACCCGCCCTTGCCCCCCCATCACTTTATCAGTCCAACCTCCCCCTTCTACAAGCTTTCTTCGCGTCAAACATCAGTTGCTGATCTTTCAATTGTCTTCTGCAGTTTTCAACTGTCGTTCGTTTGTGGTAGTGGTTTTTTGGAGCCCCTTTTTTTGAGAACTGTTGGTTGCGACCCATAGGTAAACAACACAGGAACAACAAATAAATATATTTCCCCGTTCGTCTACTGATTGAGGCTGCAACATTAGCCTTACCCAACTCAATTATCACTTCCGTCATAGTATAGAGTAAGTCACCCTCTGAGCGTAATTAGCTATACTAGGAGAGAGATCAAGTCCAGCAACCACATCTGAAACCTTAATCTAACGACCTGCAAGGAATTTTATAGAGGAACCTTTTCACCATGGCGCGGCCTCAGCAGCCGTACGACGACCAGCAGTATGGTCAGCAAACCGACTCATACTACCAGGACGAGTACGGACATCCCCAACAAGACGGTCAACACTATGATCATCCGCATGGGCAACAACAACAACCAGGAGCCGATGGCTATTATGACGAAGGGTAAGCGAGTCGAAATAAGTTGTTTTTATCGACTGTATTCTGACAGAATAATAGGGAATATTATAATGCCGGCCAGCACGGTGCGTATGCAGCAGGGGATAACGGTTACTACAATGATGGCCGAGGAGGTAAGAAACCACACGTATGAATGTTTAAATTATGATACTAATTAGTTACAGGATATGAAGATGAATACTATGGTGACCAATACTACGGTATCCTTGAGATTCGAAAGAATCCTAAAGACTTTTTACTAACAAATCCTCACAGATCAAAATGCTCCTGCTGCCGGCCAGCAGCCTCAAGGCAAGGGAAAACAGCGCAGGGGCAATGACTCAGAAGACGATTCAGAAACCTTTAGCGACTTCACTATGCGGTCCGATATGGCGAGAGCTGCAGAAATGGACTACTACGGTCGCGGAGATGAACGATACGAGGGCGGGCAACAGGGGGGCCGAGGATACCGTCCACCATCGTCTCAGGTGTCGTACGGAGGGAATCGGTCATCAGGAGCGTCAACACCTGTTTATGGCATGGACTATAGCAATGCACCTGCTGCTGCGCGCTCAAAGGAACCTTACCCAGCGTGGACCTCGGAGAACCAGATTCCTCTATCAAAGGAAGAGATCGAAGAGATTTTCCTAGATCTTACCAAAAAGTTTGGGTTTCAACGCGATAGTATGCGAAACATGTACGACCATTTAATGGTGCTCCTCGACTCCAGGGCTTCCCGCATGACCCCTAACCAGGCACTGCTGTCGTTGCATGCTGATTACATTGGTGGTGACAATGCCAATTACCGAAAATGGTACTTCGCTGCTCAGCTTGATCTTGATGAAGCTGTCGGTTTCGCCAACATGAAGCTTGGCAAGACCAATCGTAGGACCCGGAAGGCAAGAGCTGCAGCAAAAAAGTCCAAGGGCGGTGAAGCGAGTGAAGAACAAACTCTAGCTCAAATGGAGGGAGATAACAGTTTAGAAGCTGCCGAATACAGATGGAAAACCAAGATGAACCGCATGTCTCAGCACGATCGTATTCGCCAAATCGCCTTGTATCTGTTGTGCTGGGGTGAAGCTAACCAGGTTCGATTCATGCCTGAAATGCTTTGCTTCATTTTCAAGTGTGCCGACGACTACTTGCAATCCCCTGAATGTCAAGCTAGGGTAGAGGAGGTTAGGGAGGGTACCTACCTCGACGAAGTCATTACGCCTCTTTACCAGTATTGTCGAGACCAGGGATACGAGATTGTTGACGGTAAATATGTCCGCCGTGAGGTTGACCACAACCGTATCATTGGATATGACGACTGCAATCAATTGTTCTGGTATCCCGAGGGTATCGAGAGAATCATTATGACAGACAAGTCACGACTTGTGGACGTCCCGACAAATATGAGGTACACAAAACTCAAGGAGGTCGACTGGAAGAAGGTCTTCTTCAAGACTTATCTCGAAACGCGTTCCTGGTGGCACATGGTTACCAATTTCAATCGTATCTGGGTTATCCATATCTCTTCTTTCTGGTTTTATACTGCTTTCAACTCTCCGTCTATCTATACCCATGGTTACAAACAACGTATCAACCAGCAGCCTTATGCCGCCGCGCGTTGGTCTTCCGTCGGTTTTGGTGGTACTATTGCAGCATTACTCATGATTATGGCAACATTGGCAGAGTGGGCTTTCGTTCCTAGGCAGTGGGCAGGTGCACAGCACTTGACAAAACGTCTTCTGTTCTTGATTGTCGTCTTTGTTATCAACCTTGCTCCTGGCATATACGTTTTTATGATTGACGGAAACAAAGGCGGCAAAATTGCACATATTCTTGGAATCGTCCAATTTTTCGTCGCTATGTTCACATACTTTTTCTTCTCAATCATGCCTCTGGGAGCATTGTTTGGAAGCTATCTCACCAAAAACAACCGTCAATATGTTGCAAGTCAAACATTCACCGCCTCATTTCCCCGTCTTTACGGAAACGATATGTGGATGTCCTATGGACTTTGGGTTTTGATCTTTGCATGCAAGCTTGTGGAGTCATACTTTTTCTTGACCTTGTCTTTCCGTGACCCTATTCGTATCTTGTCTGTGATGAAGATTTCCAACTGCATCGGTGATAGCATGCTTGGATCCGGAGAAGCTGCAAAGATTCTGTGCACAAGACAGCCTCAGGTTTTGCTTATTTTGATGTATTGCACTGATTTGGTCTTGTTCTTTTTGGATACATATCTGTGGTACATCATCTGGAACGCCATCTTCTCAGTCGCTCGCTCTTTCTATCTCGGGGTCTCTATCTGGACACCTTGGAGAAACATCTTTTCGCGTCTTCCCAAGCGTATCTACTCGAAGGTTTTGGCCACCACCGACATGGAAATCAAGTACAAGCCTAAAGTTCTTATCTCTCAAATCTGGAACGCAATCGTCATTTCTATGTACCGCGAGCATCTGTTGGCCATCGATCACGTTCAAAAGCTTTTGTATCATCAGGTATTTTTTTTAACATTTCGTCTTCTCGCAACTTTAGCTAATTATTTTTAGGTCCCATCGGAACAAGAGGGCAAACGCACACTGCGCGCGCCAACTTTCTTCGTCTCTCAGGAGGATCATTCTTTTGAGACCGAGTTCTTCCCTAGCGGAAGTGAGGCCGAACGTCGTATTTCTTTCTTTGCCCAATCTCTGTCCACACCTATCCCAGAGCCTCTCCCTGTTGACAACATGCCGACTTTCACCGTCTTGATCCCGCATTACAGTGAGAAGATCTTGTTCTCTCTTCGTGAGATTATCCGTGAAGACGATCCTTTCTCGCGTGTTACCCTATTGGAATATCTCAAACAGCTTCACCCTCACGAATGGGATTGTTTCGTCAAAGATACCAAAATTCTTGCTGATGAGACCACCAACTTTACCGAGGAAGGAGGAAAGGAGAACGAGAAAGACAGCAACAAGAGCAAGATCGATGACCTTCCGTTCTACTGCATTGGTTTTAAATCTGCCGCGCCTGAATACACCCTTCGAACTCGTATCTGGGCTTCCCTTCGTCATCAGACTCTGTACCGTACGATTTCTGGTTTCATGAACTATAGCCGTGCTATCAAGCTTCTTTACCGTGTCGAGAACCCTGAAGTTGTCCAAATGTTCGGTGGAAATACTGATAAGCTCGAGAGGGAACTTGAACGCATGGCCCGCCGTAAATTCAAGATTTGTGTCTCTATGCAGCGTTACGCCAAATTCAAGAAAGAAGAGATGGAAAACACCGAGTTCTTGCTTCGCGCTTACCCCGACCTGCAGATCGCATATCTTGACGAGGAACCCCCCGTTGAAGAAGGCGCCGAACCTCGCCTCTATTCTGCTGTCATCGATGGTCACTGCGAAGTGATGGAAAACGGCCTGCGCAAACCCAAATTCCGTGTCCTCCTCTCTGGAAACCCAATTCTTGGTGACGGAAAGTCTGACAACCAGAACCATGCTGTTATCTTTTTCCGTGGAGAGTACATCCAACTTGTGGACGCCAATCAGGACAACTATCTGGAGGAATGTCTTAAGATTCGCAGTGTCCTTGCTGAATTCGAGGAAATGACTGTGGATAACGTTTCACCGTACACACCCGGGCTCCCTCCTGTTAAATTTGACCCGGTTGCTATTCTCGGAGCTCGTGAATACATTTTCTCGGAAAACATTGGTATTCTTGGAGATATTGCTGCCGGAAAGGAACAGACATTCGGTACTCTCTTTGCTCGTACTCTAGCCCAGATTGGTGGAAAATTGCATTACGGACATCCTGATTTCTTGAACGCTGTATTCATGACCACTCGTGGTGGTGTTTCAAAGGCTCAGAAAGGTCTCCATCTCAACGAGGATATTTACATTGGTATGACAGCATTAATCCGAGGAGGGCGCATCAAGCACTGCGAGTATTATCAGTGTGGTAAGGGCCGTGATTTGGGATTCGGTTCTATTCTTAACTTCACAACCAAGATTGGAACTGGTATGGGTGAACAAATGCTTTCCCGAGAGTACTACTATCTCGGTACCCAGCTTCCTATCGATCGTTTCTTGTCATTCTTCTACGCCCATCCTGGTTTCCATATCAACAATTTGTTCATTATTCTCTCGGTGCAGCTTTTCATGCTTGTGATGATCAATCTCGGAGCACTCACGAACCAAGTTGTCATTTGCGATGTTACTAAGAAACCTATCACCGATCCTTTGACACCTACCGGCTGCAGAAACTTGGCACCAATTCTTGATTGGGTCGACCGCTGTATCTTGTCTATTTGCATCGTTTTCTTTATAGCTTTCGTTCCTCTCGTACTTCAAGAACTTACGGAACGTGGTTTCTGGCGCGCTGCAACTCGTCTCGGAAAGCATTTCTGCTCTTTCTCGCCGTTTTTTGAAGTGTTTGTCTGTCAAATTTACGCCAACTCACTTCTTCAAGATCTTGCCTTCGGTGGTGCTAGATACATCGGTACCGGTCGTGGTTTTGCAACAGCTCGTATCCCCTTTGGTGTCCTCTACTCTCGTTTTGCTGGTCCTTCGATCTATCTTGGTGCACGATCTTTGCTCATGCTTCTTTTTGCAACAGTGACAATGTGGCGAGCTGAATTGCTCTATTTCTGGGCTTCTCTACTAGCTCTTTGTATCTCGCCGTTCATCTTCAACCCACATCAGCTTGCATGGGACGATTTCTTCATTGATTATCGTGATTACCTCAGGTGGCTTTCTCGCGGCAACTCTCGTGCCAACCATCAGTCATGGATTGCGTTTTGCCGTCTCTCCAGAACCCGTATCACGGGTTACAAGCGCAAACTTCTCGGTGATCCTTCCGAGAAGCTGTCTGGCGATATCCCCCGTGCTAAGTTTACCAACATTGTCTTCAACGAGTTTGTCGGACCGCTTCTTCTTGTTGTTGTCACTTTAATCCCGTACCTCTTCATCAACGCACAGACCGGTGTTCGAGCAGACAGCCCGGACAACAAAAGCCTGAAGACTCCCGCCCCTACTGGCTCTATCATCCGTCTTGGTGTTGTCGCATTTGCACCAGTTGCCATCAATGCTGGTATTCTCGCTGCACTTTTTGGTATGGCTTGTTGTATGGGCCCTGTTTTCGGCATGTGTTGTAAGAAATTTGGCGCGGTCCTTGCTGCCATTGCTCACGCCCTTGCTGTCATTATGCTCTTTGCCTTCTTTGAAGTCATGTTGTTCCTTGAGGGATTCAGTTTCGCCAAGGCCTCCCTCGGAATGGTTTGCGTCGTTGCGATCCAAAGATGGTTTTTCAAGCTCATTATCTGCTTGGCCCTTACCAGGGAGTTTAAGTCCGATCAGAGTAACTTGGCTTTCTGGAGTGGAAAGTGGTACGGACTCGGTAAGTAACTACCTGTGTACCTTACAGCTGGATATATATTAATTCTTAGCAGGACTCCATGCCATAACCCAACCCGGTCGTGAGTTGTTGTGTAAGATCACCGAACTCGGCATGTTCTCTGCCGACTTCATTCTTGGGCACATTATTCTTTTCGTTCAGTTGCCTTTGATCATAACCCCATACATTGATGTTGCCCACTCAACCATGTTGTTCTGGTTGCGACCTTCCCGCCAAATTCGCCCGCCAATTTACTCAGCTAAACAGTCCAAGCTTCGAAGAAAGAGAGTTATCAGATTCTCTGTTCTTTACTTCACCATGTTTGTTGTCTTTTTGGCACTTATCGCTGGCCCAGTTATTGCTAGTACGTACCCTCTCTATTTCTTCATATCGAGGCCTCCTAACATATTTTCTTTTACAGAGAGCATTCTTATCAAGGCTACCGAAAGTATATCGCTTCCCATGAAACTGATGCAACCTCCTGAAAGCTATTACAACAACTCTGATACCTGGTACTGGGATGAAAACCCAGATTTGCGTGATGATGGTACGCCTGAGATTGAAGCCGGTGCGATCGTGAACGAACCTGCCACAAAATTCAAGTTCTTGATCTAGATGTCTTCTCGGTGGATGAAAGTGTAAGGAATTTCTTTTGTGCTTTAGGTAAATGATGGCTGGGGTTTCTTTCTTTGGTTCTCTATACAAATGGATGACAGCTATGTTCAAAAAGGGGGGTAACCTAAATTTGTCGCTCCTGTTGGTAGAATGATGGGAGGATTGTAATGCTGTGATGCTCGACTCCTATAGTTGAAGCAAAACTTTGTGGTTTGGGCGTGGAATAGAGGTGATCAATTATCTGTGTTTTTTCTGTTATTGGTTTCATACTATATCTTTTTTTACTATCCTTTCGTCTGTTTTTGCATGCTTTTCCTCAATGGCAAGGTTGCAAAAGTACATCTTTGTTTCCTTTTTTATGAATAATTTCCTAGTGTCTTGAACGTGGGTCACTTTCTTGTTAGCATCCTCCCTAGTTTTAGTGTTCTGAGTATATTCTATAAATGCATATACTTCTGTACGGAAGCTCACAGAAATTCTTTGCATCTGAGCACATTTTCATGGATTGAAGTTACAGTATCTTATCACTACCACGATGGAAATGAAATTAGATTTTATGTCGTATTCTACTCCAATTATAAAAATGCGCAGCTCTTCATCATACATCTCGACTCGGCTCCTGATCGTTCAGTATAGCTGGGTGTAATCAAAAAGAACACAAAAACCCACTGACTAAATCACAATGAATTTGGCCAACAGGGCAGTAAGACCGATATACCTATATTGGCATAATATCCTCGGCGCCGCTTTGGGTCGGGATCGGGTTCACTTGAATTAAGTCTAGCTTTTGTGTTTGGCCCCATTGCACCGGTTTCACGGTCCTTAAATGTAGTCACTTGTAGCAAACGATAACGATATTGGTTTATCTTACAGACTGCTCGCAAATGATCAAGCATTTGCATTGTGAGATACATGTATCTAGTTAAAAGGAGGCTTGAAGATAAGCAATGTACGGGGCGAGTGCCACGTTAAGGTAGGAAAAATAACCAAACCCCTCTATCCAACCCCCCAATCCCCAAGTATGACTCCAACAAATAGGAAAGCCAAAAAAAAAGACCAAGAAAAGCATATTGAAGTACATATACTAAGGCGTTTAGTAAAAGATCGTGAAAATTCGCCCCGTTGCAACGCTTATTTTCACGACCTTTTACTGAACGCCTGAGTAGTTTTGAGGACTGAAAGGAAAATCACTTTTTCCCTCTCGAAGTTCAACACACCTTCAGTCCCGAAAATAAATAAAAGGACGCATTATGTAAGAAAGAGGTAATAAAAACTTTGAAAGGGGATAATTGAAAGTGGTATACTGTGGTTTGGAGTATTGAAGTGGATATCACAGATATGCAAGCCATAGAACGTAAAAAAAAAAAGAAAAAAAAATATTAGAGAACCCAGTTCAAAGTATGTAAGTAGTTGCACCATTATAAAAGATGGTTAAAGAGGAGTTGACCAAAACAGAGATGCATAAACTTAAATTTTCGGATTTTCGCTATCCCTTTCACCCACCACATCGCCATTCTCAGCAGCAATGAGTTCTTGGAATCCCTCTTTTGTTAAGGATTCTTTTTCTGTGGCTACCTCTGACTCTGCATCCTTGCCCTCTGTCTCTTCATCCTCATCCGTCGCCGCCCAGAATTCTCGTTCGAACTCCGCCGCGAAACTGTCATCATCATCGTCGTTTTCATTATGATCTTCAGCAAGACCTTCATGATCATCCGCGTCTTCCAATGCGGCATCTGATGTCTCTGATAACCCGCCTGCAGCGGTTGTGGCGGCAGCCTCCAATGAGCGATCACTTAGAGTTCTCTGTCTCTTATGCCTTGATTTATCCATCGTTTCGTCCATAATGCTATCGTCATTTTCATGCGGCGTTGAGCTTCTGGACCTCTTTGTACGTCTCTGGCTTAATGTAGATTTAACTGTTGATGCAGAAGCCATGCTTTCATTTTCGCTCACGTCGTCACCATCGTCGTCAGAACCAATCCATTCCTTAAACTCTTCGTCGACATCCATCCAGCCTACATTTGCCATGTCCGGCGCGTTGAGCTCATCTGCAGGATTGCTAGAAATATCCTCATCCATATCTGAGTCGTCCTCTGAAGACAGGAGAGGAGCATCGGGATGATCATCCTCGAAGCCATTTAGTGATCCCATGTGACGATCCTCAGGGTGTATGGTGATCAAATAGGGTTCCTCATCTTCTTTTTTCCAGTTTGAAATCGATTCCCATAGCCATTGCGGTGAAACAATCTTAATTTTCGGATACCGTACTGCGGCCTGTCTTACCTTTGCAGTGCGACTCTTGGGTAGGTTAGTAAACATGTAAGGCTTGGCTAAAGTGATTGTACAGAACCATGATAACGGTGGAATATTACTTACTCTCGCAGCTACTAGGTGTGTCACTTTTCCGCTTATGTTCTCAACAATTGTGGCTCCGAAACTCTTAGCCCAGAGGGTGATATCATAACTAGAGGCGAGTGATTAGCCAAATTTCACTATATTTAAAGTATGTATTTCTCACCTTTGTACATTTGCACCTAATGGTATGACTCCAGAAAATACCAAGGTCACATCTCCCAAAGCGGATTGTTTCATCAAGGGCATGATGTCTTTGATGTCTGGAACGGCCTTTAAATCTAGTCGTGCTTCACTCTGGCCAGGCCGACGTCTTCCGGTCACGGATGCCATGGCATTGCTTTTTCTTTTTCTATCAAATTCATCATAAAACGCCTTGTGTACTGCTGTTAGATGCCGCTCCAGCGCATATAACTCTCTATCATGGTCTTGTAAAACACTATGCTTTTGTCTTGCAATCTCACTCGGAGTTTCATCGCCATTTTCTGTGTGTATAGCTTCCACGGTGATGCTTTCGGCCATCTTCTCGTCCTTTTTATCTTGTTCCTCCTGCTTCCGGGTCAATGGTCTGTCGTGTTTTTGTGCGGTTATGGCCTTGTCTAAATCTTCGGTTTGAACCGTGAGGAGATTTTGGTCATCACCTGCTCCCATGTTCACAAGCTGCTCTAACGTTGAAGATTTGTTCGCCATGCCATCAAGAGTCTCATTTTGAAGCCCCTCCAAATCTGCTCCCGGCTGCATGGATGGGTTCTCTGGGTCGGCAGGGGTAGGAGTAAGGGCAGGGGCAGCATCAAGAGGTGGTGTCGGGGCGGTAGGAAATTCTTGACGTTTCGGCAAAAAGCTAGAATTGATGTCTCCAATGCCAACAAAGAAATCGTAAGGTCGTACTTTCACTAAGTTGTCGCTCCACTTCCACACATCGCCTCTATCATCGATGATAACTACCATTTTTGTATCCACCGGAAATAACCGCTGAAGACTTTTTTGTGTCATGCTACCGCTTTCGTCTCTACTGAGGACCCTCTCACCGAAAATCGTTCCATCAGGATCTACTATCTTCTTGACCGAAAGTGCGTAAGCCCGAGTTCCCATGGTGTATATGTGCAATTCGTAAAGCTTCGAAATGGCCTCCAGAAACTGCTTCAGCCCAGGCCGCATCTTGACATAGTACCATGTCCCCCGACCACCCACTATATCTTCATCAAGCTTGAAAGCCTCGACATCCTTAACAGATTCGTGGTTGATGCAATACGGATCGTTCTTCCATTCTCCAACCGTAGGGTCCACACATGCATGTATGATCGTCTGGTCCAAATCTACAACCAGCGACAGTTTTTTCGATTTGAGAAGCCTCTTTTTTGCGTCCTCTTCTAATCGTGAAGCCTCCTAAGAAAACACCAGCGGGTAAGTAAGAAACCTCGAAGAAGCAAGTTACCTAAGTCCGTACGGCAACCCGGAAAGAGAAGAGAGTAATACATCCGAGCTAACTGTAAGTCCGGTATTGTCATGAGCCAATTGGATAGTCGCACGATCCTTGTTTGAGAAATAGGTATAATCCTGTCTTCAACACCCCTCCGCGCGAACAAAAACCGCCCCAAATATCAGCTCTCCGACCCTTCCCCCACTGGGATCATAGGGAGGATCTTACTCCGTCATATCTTTTCCGCACATTGAGCAGAGCCCAGCAAATTGTACTGCGTGGGTACACGGCTCTTCGATCTCCAATATATCGACACTACACAGAATTTCAATACCAAAGCTCTACTTTTACATTCACCAACTTGGAGAAGGTTGTTTGGGGGGGGGGGGCTGGGGGTAGACGTACTCGCAATCCTGAATGACGGTGCCAACCTCGACGAACCACCTCTCCAATTTGCCCTCTATAGGTGCGTCGTACTGCGAAGAGAATTCCTTTTCGACCTGAACTTCCTCTCCGAACTCCGGGTACTCGGTCACTATGGTTTTATACTTGTAAATGAGCAGCGGCGACAGACGAGGGACGTCATCGTTGGGTTTCTTCAGGAGCGCAGTGATAGTGATGGGGTAGCGCACTGAGCGGGGCAGTTGGATAATCATGCCCAACCGTTGTTATTCAGTGTTTGCGGCCGGAGGGGGCGGTGATGACGGAGGTGCGTGAGTGGGTGTGTGGGGATGGATTTAATAGGTTGATGGTAATCGTGTTGATGAGGGGGGTCAACTGTTGTGTTTAAGTAGTGCTGGAGCAAGAGGTAGAGAGGAAGGGGGGAGGTGAGATGGCTGGGGACTGTCGTTGAATTTAAGCTTTGTGGGATCGTCCTTGTTAAGTTGGTTGGCAGTGGTAGCTGACGGGATGTTTCTTCACGCGACAAATCAGGCTTTCTCAGTAGACAAAACAAGTAAGAGAAGACGTTACGGGATGTCAAGAGGTGACTGCCTGACGTGACAGTGGAATAATCAGTCAGAAGGCGGAGAGAGTTGCGCGTGCAACCAGCGCTGTTAGTAGGATAAGTAGTATGTAGAAAGATGCAGTGGAGCATGCACGATATTCTGATATTCTACAAGAACAAGCAGAAAGTCACGGGCTATTGAGTTCGCTCTGAACCGTGCTTGTTTGATTGGTCGCAAGTAGCAGGGAACACTGGTGACGCGAAGCAGAGGCAGAAAAAAGAACGAACCATCCGTCTAGGGTCAGGGTTGGGAGATAATGTGGTGTTGGAACCTCCTTTCAACAACGAAGAAAAAAGAAGAAAAAGACAATAAAATAGAAAATTAGGATGATTATAATGAAAGAAAAAAATAAGAAGCCGGCGAAGGTTGGTCCGGATTAGATAACGCGGCTCTACTAATATGTGAGCGGGTGCGAAGGTTTGGAAGATGCGGGGAAGGAAAGTGAAACACTGATCTTTCTTTCCCGATTCAACACGTCGTCGAAGGGCAGCATGCCATCCTTATATACCCATGGGGCATACTTTGCATTGTAAGAGGGTTGTACATACAATGTGAACCGAGAGCGGCTACTGGGATTAGTTGTTTGTTTCTTTTTGTCCAATGCTCTCGACTGTTACGGCACACTGTCCAATTCTGGTAGCCGTGAGTTGGCCTTATCGCTATTGATCATTGGCCCTCATTTAGTCCTATACTTGGTATAATGTACTTGGTGCCCTTTTGATGATTGAATGTGTCGGTGTACATGTAGTTTCCCATGGCCATAGTTTATGGGGACCTCAAAGACACATGTATAAACTTCAACACCTTACACCTCCCACAGAAATATCAATAAAAAGAATACACGTAGTATCGATGTGCATACTAAGTACATGGACATATATGTAGTCCCGAAATCTGATCTTAATATTGATTAATTCTACGCACCTAACAAATAAATACTTACATAATTGAGGTTTGAGTAATTCGATTTCACTTGATCTGATCCATCATTGGGTGGTGGCTATGACTGCGCACATATTGTACATGGTGGAAATGACATCAGTATTACTATCACTGGTTATTCGTATTTACTCCGATCTTTTTCCCACTTATGAATGTCGAGGCCATATAACATTTGTGCATACTCATGATTGCTTCGTAGGTATGCTATGAACTTATATATACACGTACATGTAGACTTCCCTAGGAAAATTATATTACTATCCCTTCGATCATTTGATCCTGCAAAACCGAGACATATTAGGCCTACGACAGTGTGGTGATATCCAGGAAACCTAGCTACCTACTGAACGTGGAGACACCAGAATAGGCAGAGCTGGGGGTCATAGACGGTGCATGCGGCGCAGGCCATCTATATCTAGCTAGGTCTGAGAAGATGATTCATCATGCAAGGACATGTTGAATACATGCATATCCAGTGCTCAGTATTTTATATATATTAAGATTGATCGATTTTCACCTTATTTTTACTGTTTCTAATTCAAGTCTTAGAGCCCATTAATGCTAAGCCTAGAGGAATTATATATGTTTATTGCGCAATGCATGGTAACCGCATTGGAACTATTTCGGGTATGGGTGATCAAATATTTCCCCCTCGACCGTAGGTGCATGTATACATAGCATGTGGTTCATTTGGTATTAACTTGCAATTGAAATGATATAAGTTGAAGCAATAATAAATTCCGGAATACACCGTCTTCCGCCTCCATAATAAGATTGGCGCTGAGTTAAGGAAATGTGGTATACGCCAGCCGGAGTACAAGTGCACCGGGCGGATGTGACATTGGGAAGGTTTCTAAATTGACCAAGTTTAAGATTTGCGAGAAATTTGACTTGCGGGGTACTCCCAGGCAGTACTTTCAATCCTCAGGTATCAAAACATACATATAATTTCTAGAATTCTACTAGGAGCTAGATGTGAAGATCTAGGCCAGCTAGAATTTAAGAAACACGACCTTATGTAGTAACAATTTTCAATAAGTATATGTTATGTTGAATGTTAAATAATAATATAATATGCCCACAAAATAATTATTCAATAGGTTGTAAGTTTTTTTTAGCGCTATAGCTGGTTTCCACACTTTGACATTTAAATTATTCATACTTTTAATCATCAACCGTTAGCAAAAACAAAACCACCCCAGCTCGAGCCAACATAATTCCGGCCCGAATCTTGCTTGGGCCCAAAAGATCGGTTCCTGTTAACATGCATCATATATTATCACTCGTAAACCAAGACTCCCTGTTGTTAAGAACAAAAGAAGGTATATACGGAAGATCTTGACTTTCTTATTTGGCTTGCTTGACTACAATACAGAGGGCATAATACAGCCCTTTTATGCACAAAATTTTATACAAAGGAAACTCAAAGTATGACTCCATTTTGACATATATATCAATGACCTTGCAGTGACTTCATAAACTATGACCACCCTCGGACAGACATGACAAGTATGACATTGCTCCCAGGCTCGCAACCAATATCCTCCACACCGGTTTTAAGCACGAGTAAAGTTGAAAACTCGGTTTGGCTAAAGCATGGTGTTCAATAATGTAACAGATTAAAAGAACATACCCCTCCAGTATTTTAGGAGAAATCTGTACCCATATGGAAATAATTCGCTCCCGGACTATGACTGACTCCAGGCCTGGGCATACTCGGTTATATGTAGGCCATAAAACATAATGTTACATGTGAGAACTTGAAAAGAAAAGAAAACAAAAGAAAGTGAAGGTTGATCGTAAGAATCTACTAGCAAAGACACGAAGTCTCTGGGTCACGTGTAGGCTGTTTTCTGATAATGGTGGGAGAGCTATTATAAGGTTAAGAGTCGCGGGCCCGGGGACCCCGCGCCTTTGCCGGCAAATCTGAGGCCCCTTTGTCTTCGTGATAATATCAATTGGTATCAATGAATCTATATGTTATGTTTGACAACATTGTGGCACACCCCTCCCCTAGCCAGAGTCTCAAGATTATCGATTGTTGTATCTGCGATGTTTTTGAGGGCTTCAACTGTAAGGAAAGCTTGGTGACCGCTGATATCAAGCGTTTACTTAGTACCGGCCTTGAATTGCGGAGGAGTGCAGAGGGCATACCTGACAAAAACATTGTAGAATGACAAGAGACGGGCAAAATTGTCGTCGTAGATGATCTTGGAGCTTCCATCTGCAAAGAAGTAGGCGGATTCTCCTTCATAAACATCGAGCCCTACTGCACCCAGATGACCGGTTTTTAGCGCTCTAAAAAGGTCAGTTCGACATTTTCTAAAAAGCACTTGTGCTACTGGAATTATTTTACCCAATCAATGCGTGAGAATCAATCAACGCCCCTCTAGAGGTGTTGATCAGATATGCTCCCTTCTTCATCTGTCCAAGTGTTTTCTCATTCATCATATATTTAGTGCTTTCCATCAGAGGGCAATGAAGGGACACAATATCCGACTTCCCCAACATCTCTTCAAGCGAATCGACATAAGTTATGCCATACTCGGCCGCCTGATCATTACGATATAAGTCATATGCGATGACATTACTTTCGAACCCTCTCGAGAGTATTTTCCCAGTGAGCAGGCCGATTTTACCGGTACCAATTATACCGATTGTTTTCCCCTTGAGATTGAAGCCTAGGAGTCCATCGAGAAGAAAGTTACCTTCCCGGACACGAGTGTATGACTTATGATACTTTCGGACGATTGTCATGATCATGCCAACAGCAAATTCGGCAACTGCATCGGGGGAGTAGGCGGGGACACGGACGACTTGAAGGCCAAACCGGGAGGCAGATTCAAGGTCGACATTGTTGAAACCGGCACAGCGGAGGGCAATGTATTTCTATGAATCATAAGTTTGATTTGTTAATTATCCGGCATTTCGGGAATCTGTGAAGGCATTGATGGCTAGATCAATTCGCTTACCACGCCTAACTTCGCTAGTCCTTCGAGAACCTCCGCATCGCATACATCGTTAACAAAGATACACACGGCGTCATAACCCGCTGCAAGGGCAAGGGTAGTCTTGTCGAGGTGGATTTCTAAAAACTGAAGCTTCAAGTCTGAAGTTGTGTTGCACTCGGAAAACGAGCTGATATCGTACTGCAAGTGGGCCGTTAGAGCCGAATAAACGAACGGGATCTCAGACAAAGGAATCAAGGTTATCGATAGCAAGTAGTGCGGGTTCCGATGAACCGGTAGTGGGGCGCTGGCTTACCTTCTTTGAGCTGTAAACAACGATCTTCATTTTTTTTAGGGGGGGACAGGGCGAAGAGTAATGATTACTGATGTGCTTTGGTGAAGGGTATACCTATATATGTAGTTGAATTTCTACGAAATTCGAGGTGGGCTGATGTTTGATCTGTGGGCAGAGCCTCTCGTCACAAGCCAGACAAATCCCATCTGAAGTGGATGACAGACGTGGCCAGAGGCTTAGAAAAAGAGCCACTTCGTCCCCGAGAATCCCCACTGATGAATTGTTTATCCAGATCTGTTACTGTGGTCCGACCTTCGGAACAACTATATAGCTATAGTAAGCCTCTGATGTCAATGGCATGCCTGTGGACACCTGTGACTCCCGCCTGTATTGATAGGAACTATTGTGGGTACTCTACAGTATCGTTTATCGCGCAGATTTACGCCCTCCGATTGGGGTACATGCATGGCCATACGGTCTAGAGTACCTACAGCTAGTATCATGTAGTATGGGCGTTGGGTTTTGAATTCTGCCAATAAATTTGATAGCACGCAAGGCGCACGCTGCAACGGCACATGAACTCCCCTCGCCATAGCGGATCTGGAACTAGAGCAATCTACATTACATACTGCAGACATATCCAGCTGCATCTATTGCGAAATCTATTCGCTGCATGGTAAACCTAGAGGACTGGCTTTGGCCAATGACACCCGGAAATACTCAGAAACAAGCTTTGCCTACGCCGTGGGTTAACAAAGTCCCTATAGCACTACCGCCTTCACATGTCGTGGATCATCATAAGTGCTAGTAGATATAACATTATGCTCTGCTCTAATGTGCAGTTCTATCACCCACAAAATTGTGGTCAGCAAATCTGATATAACCAGAAGGATTTGACTAACTACTTGTATGATCAGATTTAATTACGGCATAAACCGAGTAATGCCCGCCATGCGAGGTTTTCAACACGGATCCCCTTCGTGCTTTAGTCTATGGCTCATTTATTGAGTTTTCGGCGTCCAAGGATCTGTCGAGAGCGTTCCTCGTGAAAGATCAAGAATATACACCAAATGAATTCCATCTGTATGTATATTGGATCCGGGATAGGGTACGAGAGGATACACCGACCAGGTAATTTTATACGAAGAAAGAAATCGCAGGGTAATGGGCATGGGTACATGTGTTGTAGTATAATTAATATTCAAGTCGCGCTATCACATGCTGAGAGTCATGGACAATCACTCATTTAAAGCCGGATAGTTTGTAGCCGCCGCGCACATGAAGGTTCTCGAGAAGACACGGACAATTGAAACCTGACAGTGTATGGCATAGAAGTCTTCTATCACATGGGCCCCCAAAGCCTAGTGAACAGAAAGCTTTGAAATGTATGTACGTATGAAGTATGTACATATGATGTACCTACATGTACTTGTAATCAGCTGACCGCCGAGTCATTTCCCCGCAGGCACAATAACGAAGCCTAGATCCTCTGGTGATGGGAGCAGTGCTCTGCAATTTTTATGGGCAAGCAGGAATTTCTTCCAAATAAATCGGCCGATGAAGAACGGTCACGTATCTCGTAGATTCATTCCCATCCTGGCTACGTTAAGCCAATCAAGGTCTGTAGGATTTGGTAAGTTCGGGTGTTGTTGAGATCTAAGGCTTTTAGCACTACACTTGGTTGTTCCTGGTGGTGGATTACCAACAGCCAGCTGCAGGTAACCTGAGGGGTTGAGGACTCCGGTGTTATGAATCCTGTTATATCGTATGCCAAGAGTCAAACGCAGTGTGCGACCACGCTACTGAGTAACAGATCCAAGTAGTCATCTGCTATAGCGGAATGTTTCGGCTGCAATTTTCGTACTTCCCACCAAACATACCGCAAGCGTATCTGCAGGCAATCTATATAGTACTACAATACAGTGTTTCTCAAAAATAAGAAGCTAAGCCGTTTTCGGAATTGGACAGGGGTTGGTGACAGGGGTGCAGAGGTGCGGTAACAATAGTATTTTTATGGGATGGGAACAGGTTGGGGAGGTAGGGTAACCAAAGAAAAAAAAACCCGGTTTTCAATCTAATATGTACTACGATAGAGCAGTTTCGCGCTCGGTTGAACCCTGACCCTGATATCTGCGTGGCAACCAATCCGCCCCACCAAATCGCCCGTGGTCAACCAACAGCGGCCAATGCCCAGTCAATCAAAACAAAATGTAGGAGTATTAAATTATATCTTAATAATTAAATTATATCTTAATAAATAAATGTGCTATCTACTATCTTCTATAGTGTACCTACTGGAATACACTTTAAGGGGTACTTTGGTACATGTATCTTTGGTGCGGTTCCCCGCTGGCACGCCGGCCCATAACCCTAACCCTGACCTCTGTGTGGCAACCAATCCGCCCCACCCAGGCCGGTCAACACCCGGATCAACACCCGGGCCTATTCAATTAAAACAAAATGTTGGAATACTATAAATAGGGACTGCCCCCCCCCATCCCACCATCTTTTAAAACAATTCTGATCAACGAAAAACAACAATGAATTCCATAATGTGCCGTAAATGCAAACGGGAGAAACCTCTTGAAGATTACGATCAGGATAATCAAGGACAACCACGTAAATCATGTCGTACATGTTTGGTATGTATTGCTGAATCTTTCCGGTTGACAGTTATACTTTGCTCTAACAAATTGTATAGCAACTAAAGAGAGAACGAAGAACAGCACATAGAGCCGCAAGATTAATGGAGGAAGAAAATAATATAGAGGTATTACGATTTTGGTTATTGAATATTTTTTCGGATGGTTTCTAACAGTAATCCAACTCCGTCCGGTTTTACCAGTTGCAGCCCCCTCTCCAATGGCATTTCTATCTTCCCGAACAAAATGGTCACTATTAATACTTGGGCGTATGACAATTGTTTGCCAATCATGCAAAGCTTTGCATTGGCTAAATGAACGTTCAAGCTGCACCGGGAGCTCAATTCAAACACCAATCTTTGAGAATTGTTGCAAGAAGGGAGACGTTGTACTTGAAATTCTTAAACCCCCTTCTGATTATCTGAAGTACCTGTTGGAATCTTTAGAAACTGTCCCAAGAAACTTCCGGAAACATATACGGGAATATAATTCAGCACTTACGTTTCCCTCAGTCAAATACAATACGGATACAAGAGTTGGTGCAAATGGCGGTGGTATAAGTTGCTTCCAAATTCATGGTGAATTATATCATCTTCAGGGACCATTGGTACCAGCAATCGGAGCAACTCCTTCCTTCGCCCAACTATATTTCTACGATCCAGAATATTCGGCCCAAGTACGACATGCAACACATCCAACTTTAGATATTATGGTACTTCAACGTCTCACCATGGAGTTAAATTCAATAAATCCGTTTATTGAATTTTATAAAACAGCAAAAGAAAGATTGGATAATGCTTCAACACAAGATGGGAATGCACGCGTCATACTTAATCCACGTCTTCAATTGATAGTTGAAACAGGAGCAGATAAACAACGAAACAACTTACCTACAAGTAACGAGGTGGCGGTAATAATTCCCGATGCATATGAAGAAGCTGGATTCCGTGATATCGTATTAGCATATAGAAATCCATTGCCAAATCAAATGTTCAGTATCATCAATCCTAACCATGCTGCGTATATGCCATTGCATTACGTATTGCTTTTTCCAAATGGGGATACCGGTTGACATTGGAGTTTACAACTTCGAGATCGATTGAATAATCGGAAAGTATTGCGTTTAGGTCAACGTGAATTTTATCGGTATGTTTAATATATTATCATAGAAATCATTACTAACTTATTACAAAGCTATCGTATTCATTCACGTTCAACTGAGCCTTTAACACTATTTCAATCTCAAAAGCTTTTTCAGCAATATTTGGTTGACGTATGGGCTGTATGTGATCAGAACAAACTAAATTGGATACGTTTGAATCAATCAAGACTCCGATCCGATTTGTATAATGGCCTGGCCGATGCTATGCTTCAAGAAGACTTCAATCCAGAACAAACCGGACGGAGAATACTACTTCCTAGCAGCTATAGCGGTGGTGATCGTTATATGCAACAATTATACCAGGATTCAATGGCTATCGTAAGACACTTCGGAAGACCTTCACTTTTCATCACATTTACAGCGAATCCTAAATGGTCGGAAATCGTTCCAGAGTTACTTCCAGGTCAAACAGCTGTCGATCGTCCAGATTTAGTTGCGAGAGTTTTTCATCTCAAACAACAAAAGCTTTTGCAGGAAATTAAACATAATCATATTTTTGGACGTTACCTCGGATGTGTCTGGACTATTGAATATCAGAAACGTGGTTTACCACATATGCATCTTCTATTATTTTTACACCCTGAGGACAGATTCATGACTTCTGAACGTATTGACCAGATTGTATGTGCTGAATTGCCGGATCCTCAATTTGATCCCGATGGTGAACTCACAGTTGTTATCAAATCATGTATGGTGCATGGCCTATGTGGAGAATTGGCATTCGATTCACCATGTATGATCTCGAAAACACCTGATGCACCTCGACTTTGCACCAAACGGTATCCTAAACAATTTCAGAATGAAACTGTTTTACAAGAAGATGGATACCCATTATATCGACGTCGTAATGATGGTAACAACTTTATGGTTCTTAAACCACTACACTAGGTAGCAATAGCTATGCAATATAATTCCGGAAGTTTATGTTAAAGCAAACTCCATTAAATTACACATACTTTCAGCTCACTGGCACTGGCATCGGTACTGTAAAAACCGGACTCACCACACCCACCCGCCCTTCCCAAAATTTGGTCACATTCAAGCTCACACTTCGCCCTGGCGAGGTGGCCAACTGCTAGTAGTATGGTACTCTATCTAGACCTTTTCTTTATCATAAGTAGAGCAGATCACTCCTACTCATTAAACTTCTTCTCCAACTTACCCATCGTTAATACCATCGTTATCGTCACTTGTTTTCTCCCCCATCAACTTCCGGTTGAGGCTCTCGTGTAGTAGCTCCCCTCCCAAAAGTAGAAAACGCACTGCATCGGGGTCCTGCATCTGCGATAGCGGCTACCGATAAGGTAACACCCAGCCACTCATCGCTCGCCACTCCACACATATTTGGAGTCATCTAAGGGTAGGTAACATAGCTCCAAGTAGCTACCTTGTTCTCTCCGCGTGCCCTCGTTTGATAATAAAAGCAACCTCTTCTCATACTCATACAACCGTCAGGAAACTGATCTCGGGAACAGCTCAAGGAACCTACCACACGTGATAGCATCATTGTTCAGAATGCCCGATCGCTCTAGCATCGTCCAGAAATTTGGTACTGGACGTCGAAAAAATGCCCCCACCATCTCACAGTCCATGCAGCTCCCTGCCCGTTTTAATTCTGGGGAAAACGACGATGCGAACGATGAAGATGTATGCGTAGCCGGAAAAAATACACCCTTCAACATGAACCAAAGCTTTTATCAAGTCCTTACTGCTGCCACTTCAAATATCCGGATGAGCTCTCGCTTCGACGACGATTCAGATGACTCGGACGATGATCCAACCACGCCCAAGGCGATTGATAAGAAGCTCAGATCCAAGATTCCTGGGTTACCACTTGGTCCTAAAAGAGAGTTGACGAAAGATGTAATTCAAGAGGAAACCGACGATGAGGAAGATGACCCAGTTCCCGCAGAACTGGCCGGAGCTGCTCTACAAATGGCCATTTCCACAAACAGTTTACAAGCAGAGACGCAGTTAAATTCGCCAGCCTTTGCGGTAAATACGCAGGACCAAGAGAACGAAACCTATCACGACTTCGAAGAAAACGTAACAGCGAAATCGAGTGGAAATGGGGATTTGGAAGAGAAATTGATGGATATTTTCAACTTGCCGGCGACCGAGAAGGTTATTTCCGGTATGTTGTTATCAATGATTTGCCAATAGATTTGCTTTTTAATAATGAGGTTCTACAGAATACCCATGCTGGCTTTTGAAAAGCGTGCTATTACAGGGCTATATGTACATAACCACTCGACATATCTGCTTCTATGCATATCTCCCTCGGAAAGATGTATGTAATTTCTGTCATTGTCAAATACAACGCTTACTGACCCATATCGTTCAGCATGTCATACTAAAATCTGGTTACCTATCCAAACGAGGCAAGTCTACTGTTAAATTTACTAGATACTGGTTCATCCTGAAAGGCGATGTTCTCTCTTATTACACAAACCCATCAGACCTATACTTTCCCAATGGAAACATCGATCTTCGGTATGGTCTTCAGGCAAGTGTGGTTGAGGCCAAAGATCCTAAAGATTCGGTCATGGTGACGCTTTCTACCAACGAGAGAAAGTATTACTTCCGTGCGGACTCTTCAGCAAGTGCTAGAGAATGGGTAAAGTCGCTCCAAAAGGTCATTTTTAGGTCACACAATGAGGGAGATAGTGTGAAAATTTCAATACCAGTAGAAAACGTCATTGAGGTTGAAGAGAGCCCAGTCTTGGAGTTTGCAGATACCTTCAAGCTCAAGGTTGTTGATAACGATGATACATATGCTATCGACGAGGTAACGAACCAATATGTCGTCGTCGATGTGAGATATAATTACTGACGATCTTTTAGTATTTCTTCTCATTCTTCAGTTTCGGGAAAGATGCTTTGAACGTCTTGCGATCGGCGGTAGAAAACTCTGCAGCATCGAAGATCCCCAGTCATATGTTTGGAGCACATTCGGAGCCTCCTTCACCTGACCTGGGGCCATTACCGGATCGTTCGATAACCCCAACTCTTAAGGAACCAGTACGGGCAACACTTTCCCCACTTTCACCCAAGTCGCCAACTATCAGGAGCCCAAGGTCTAGTCCGAGGCCGAGTGGAGAGTTTACTCGTGGCAGCTTCGATGTTCAAAGGGCATCTAAAGAAATACAGAAAAGAATGGCAGAGGCCCCCAGACACAGTACCGATCTGAGCACTAGTTCTTCCCCAGGACCCCTTCCCTCTGATTCCGCACATTCATATGCTCATTCGTTCGGAGAATCTTCTGAGGGGGTACAATTATCGATGGATGATGAAGGAAAAGGAACAGCGAGCAGTATTCTGGACAAGAGCGATATTTTTGACTCGCCAACAACGAAAAAACTTGGTCATGGACGTTCAGACTCACAGAGCTCACACAAATCCCACAGCTCTACCAGTAAATCAAAATATAAAAAAGATGTTTCATCATCTAAGGCATATACTGGCTCCCCAAGTCAATACGAATCTGATGAGCTAAGTGGGAGCTCCAGCAACAACTCAGCAAGACTTCAGGACATAGCCAAGACCGGAAACTTCCCCCTACAACGTGCCGCTAGTTGGGCGGGCTGGATGAAGAAGCGGACGCAGGGTGTTGGCGCGCTCTTGGCTACCGAGTCCATGGGATATTTGGAAAAAGTATCGGACATGTGGGTTGGTGGAAAGAGACATTATAAACCCATGGGGATGATGGCGCATGAAGAGGTTGAAGATGCTGAAGATGACGATGGGAATGCTCAAAGTCACGATGCCAGTTTTAGGGCAAGGTTTGCACTCCCGCCACAGGAAAGACTGATTGCAGTGTATTTTGGATACCTGCATCGTGTTCTACCTTTGTACGGGAAGATCTACCTTAGCAATAGGAGCTTCTGCTTCAGGAGTATATTACCAGGGACAAAGACAAAGGTTCGTTTGACTATCAATCTAAAGCCTTCGACAAGATTGCTAACTCTTGCAAAGATGATTCTTCCTCTCAAGGATATCGAAAATGTCAGTAAAGAGAAAGGCTTTAGATTTGGCTATTCGGGACTTGTCATTACAATCCGTGGTCACGAGGAACTATTTTTTGAGTTTGGTCAACAAGACGCTAGGGATGACTGCGGGCAAACTTTACGTGCCGGCATAAACGACGTCCGAGTTCTTGCTGAGAGTGGAATTTTGACCCGGGAAGAAAAACGAGGTGCAGAAATGGCTAAAACCGAGTATCAAATGCTACAAGATGCACGCCAAGATGGTCATAATATTCACGATATTCAACTACCACTGTCAGCAAATGACGCAAGTTGTCAAGATGCTCCACCAATCGTATTTGATGATCCCCATGGATCGATTATCAATTTCAAACCGACCGAATCGATGCTCATTACATGTCTTACTATTGGTACCCGCGGTGACGTGCAGCCGTTCATTGCGCTTTGTATTGGGCTTATGAAGGATGGGCACAGGACAAGGATTGCGACTCACACAGAATATGGGGACTGGATCAGAAGCTACGGGATTGATTTCGAGCCTGTAGAGGGGGATCCAGCGGAGTTGATGGAATTATGTGTTTCGCACGGAATGTTTACTGTAGACTTTTTACAGGCTGCTACTTCAACGGTAAAAATCCATCCCCTTGGTGGTAATTGCTAGGCACTAAATTATGGTAGATGCGTGGATGGCTAGATGGCTTGCTCTTAAGCTCGTGGAAGGCTTGTCAGGGTTCTAACCTGTTGATTGAAAGTCCCAGTGCAATGGCAGGTATTCATATTGCAGAAGCCCTTGGTATACCATATTTCAGGGCATTCACTATGCCTTGGACACGTACCAGGGCATATCCTCATGCTTTTGCTGTTCCAGAGCATAAAATGGGTGGTGCTTATAACTACTTCACCTATGTTCTTTTTGATAACGTTTTCTGGAAAGCTACCGCCGGCCAAATCAACAGATGGCGGAAGAAGACCCTTGGACTCACCAGAACTAACCTTGACAAACTACAGCCAAATAAAGTACCATTTCTTTATAATTTCAGTCCTTCGGTAGTCATTCCGCCGCTCGACTATAGCGACTGGATCCGTGTGACTGGATATTGGTTCCTGGATTCACCAAGTGACTATGTCCCCCCTAAGGAGTTAACAGACTTTATTACAAAAGCCCGAAAGGATGGTAAAAAGCTTGTCTACGTCGGCTTCGGCTCTATTACGGTAGCCGATCCAGATGCCATGACTCGTACGGTTGTCGAATCAATTCTCAAGGCCGATGTACGTTGCATTCTATCGAAGGGTTGGTCCGATAGGCTCCAAAAGAAAGACGCTCAGATGCCTGAAATTTCTTTACCCTCTGAGATCCACCAGATCCAGTCTGCACCACACGATTGGCTGTTCAAGCAAATCGATGCAGCAGTTCACCATGGTGGTGCTGGAACCACTGGGGCAAGTCTAAGGGCAGGAATCCCAACGGTTGTGAAACCGTTCTTTGGAGACCAGTACTTCTTTGGACAGCGTGTTGAAGATATGGGGGTTGGGATATGCGTGAAGAAGTTGAACGTCCAGGCTTTCAGTAGAGCTTTGTGGGAATGCACCAACAATGAGGTGATGATTACGAAAGCCGATATGCTGGGAAAACAAATCCGCTCGGTGAGTGAAGTTTGTGTCTCGATAAAATATAATTGGTTGCTGATATTATTGCTATTAGGAAAACGGAGTGGAGACGGCTATCCAGGCTATCTACCGTGACATGGAGTATGCGCGGACACTAATCAAGAAACAACATGGCGACCCGCATGAAATAGATTCCGAAGAATCTTGGACTTTTGTCGATGATCCTGATTCCCAACTCGGGAAGCTGACCCGATAGAGTAAAGAAGCAAAGACGTTCTAGAAGGAATTTCTCACTGTTATTGTTATTTTCTATTGAAGCCGTGGAGGGTTGAATACCTAGCTTGGTAGATCGTGGGAGCAGGAACTTGGTTAGTTGCGTCTGAGGTGTTCCGGCGTCATTTCCTTATGCGGGTATTAAATACCCTTTCTTCTTTTATTATGATTGAAACCATAGCTCTACTACCCTACTCACTTTTGATTTATTTATTAATACTGTTGTGGAGGAACCATGTTGGTAACAGTTACATGATGATTTAATGAGTTGGCTAGTAATTACACCGAAATATTACAAGATAAACATACAGATATTATGGTGTGGTTCCGGAATTTTCCTACCTAGGGCATTCTAATAACTTAAGGTAGATCAGTGTGCAAAAGCCACAATCGAACTAACGAATGATCTTAGCCAGGTCAATATGCTGGTTTCGAGTTATCTACTGATTCCATCTGTGACCCGATTTGTCCTCTCCGAATGATTAATCACAGTATATCACTCGTTATTACTGTTATAGACGAGTGACTAGTTATGAAGGCAAAATCTTCCCTAGATATAGGGGAAACCCAGGTATATATCATTTCACAATCAAGAACATAACAGTCACCAAGATTAATAATAGATACTCGAGAGTTGAACGTAGTTGATTATCCCCGCACAGCTAGGACCGATCAAACAGCCGACTCCTATGTGCGGTAGTCGGGGAGCAAGTATAATAAATTCAGCTCTGTAGGTAAAGGTCTTCGATACTATTTGCTATAATCTGATAATAGTTCCAGTTTGAGCCGGGTATGTGCCCTATTGGCGTTCAAAATATCATACCTAGGCCGCTCCATGCGGCCAGCAGCCAGCCTTCTAGTCGGACCTGACCGCGTAAGAGATCGAAAGGCCTTCCGCAATACGAAGGTTGCGCAGTACCAACGACTCGGATACCCTAAAAAGATCTTATATGCACCGATCTTGGTGGTAAAGGCTCAGAACGTCATAGGAAACGTACCACCCCAAAATCACACCAAGTATCGTACTCAGACTAGTTTCAGATATTTCGTGCAAGTGGCTGCCGAAAGAGCAACAGTATTCTACACAAATAATTCCCAATAGCTAAGAACGTAGAGTCGAAATTTACCCCTCACCTGTGGCCGACGGCATTCCCCGAAGGCGCCAAAGTCTAGGAATAATTGGTCATTAGAAGGATGCGGAGCTAATTGCTATTCACGAAGGTACATGGCATTTTTGGTTTTCGTAGATGACTGGGGTTTTACCGAAAACATGCGACTTATTTTTATTTATGTTCAGACCATTTGCATACACGAATGAATTATCAATTACTTTTCAATCAATTCCGACCACTTACTTTAATGGTATCTTTCATGTTCTTTATTAGTACATATATTTGGGCTTTAGACCGGTTCCCCCACCAGCGAGTGCACACCACCTCGCGAGTTTGGCTGTGTGGCGAAGGGTTTCAACCCACGCCACACAGCCAAACACCTCTAGGACTCGCGACTGGGCTCGCTTGTGGGGGAACTGGTCTATCCAAGTCTTTAATCACCCGAATTCTAAAATCTTTTCACTTCGTGGTATCGTAGTCATATTTCAACTAAAACCATGGCAACGAAGTTCTTTGCCAATTGCAGTTTGTCCATTACCTATATTGCGGTTAGGTATCTTCGTGATCATGTATTGCCGCTCTTCAAAGGTTTTCGTGTCCGGAACGTAACTTCGATATCGCTACATATATACAAAACTCAGAGAGTAGGTAGGTAATATGGAGTTATATGTACATGTAACTATAAGCTTTCTTCTCGGAATTTATGCTTCCGATTCAGTTGGGTGGGTTGGGTGTGTGTTGGAGCATCTAAACTATATAGCCTTCCTCATCGTCACCAGGAACGTCGTTTTCTATTGGTTGCGTATCAGACATTATATAAACTTTCATGAAAGAGAAGCTAGCTTTTTGTCAACTACATACTACAAAGTCGGGTGAGCAAGGAGGGATCCGCAGAGGCACCCGATTCCGATTGTGAGCTACTCATGTACATTGAAAGAACTGGCTTAGAGTGAGTGTATTTGCATTTCTTTAACATATAGTTCTTAGTACGTATATACTTGAGCTAATAGCACACATTACCCACGAGGAGCGATGAAGCTTAGCTGTGCCTATACGTTTTGACAACCTAATGGCCCGAAAATACTATCACAGTACCCCCGTTTCCTCACTACAATATTTAGGCAGCCGAAGGCCGCACCCCGCTTGTATATTCTAAGATTGGGGCATGACTTTGTGGGTTGATTTAGGGTAACTACATATATATGGTAAAGGCTTGATTATAAATTTATCACGCGAATCTTGTGTCGTGGAGGATAACTGCTCATTATTTTTGAAAACGTCACCCGCGGGTTTGGATCACTCATTTCCTCCTGTCTGTTGAGGGTGTATCACCTATTATAAAACTTTTGGTGAATGACTGTATGTACTTCATTCCAGCCATTTATTTTTTTAGTAGAGAACGGGCGTGATCATTCGATTCACAGCCTATAATATAGATCGCCTACCATGGTGTACCACTAACATTTTTCTATACGAAGCGAACTTATTCCAAGTGCCGTCGAATAAAAAAGCAAGTCTTCCGTGTCTGGTACCTAGGCCTTCGATCTGACATTTTTCCTAACGGTAGATGGGCTATTATGGGTTGAGTTTCAGCCCGAGCTATGCTGTGTCTTCGTGATAATTCGCGGGGGGGTTGCCTTGGATGCAATGGCATAAAGATAAGGAGGTTGATGTATGTATGTAAAAGAAAATCGAAGCCCGTAATTAAGCTTATATTAGTTACAGGATATTTTCAGAACATCGACTCTTCGTTTCCTGTAAACCGATACAAATGGTGAAATAGGCTAGCGTATAAGCTATAGGGGCTTGATAAACTAGGCTTGGGTGCTTTTAGGTATGCAGTCTTGGTGTAGGGTTATGGGATGGTGTTACTGGATGTATCTTCTGTAGACATAGACCGTGGCTTCGCAGATCTTCCATGAACGTTATCAACAATTGGTGTTTAGGAATCTTCCATACAAATGCCTAGAGTATGATTTATGAATGCCATTCTGTTTTAGATTACCACATATATACGAGTTGCTAAATAAGTAACAATACTGTATATACCATAAATCGATGCTGCGTGTTGAACAGCGCGCGCTGAAACATTTATAAATAGTCAGTACGTCACTACTCCTGGGGCACATACCAATAGAAATCCCCCACTAGAGATTTCACATCTGCTCACTAACTCTTAGTAAACTCTAAGCAATAAGGAGAACGTAGAACGTGAAAAAAGAGCCTAAGGTCTAAAAATAGGACTTAGCCGCCGCCATCACGGCTATCCAAGCCTGTCATCCTTAGTTATCCACTGTTACCAGTTGGAACAGTAGACGTATCGTATCAAATCTTGATACTGCTTCTGCCTTGTGGTGAATCAATATTTTTTTTTTTTTTTTTTTTTTTGGGGGGGGGGGGGGGGGGGGGCTTGTGTCAATGATAGATGCAGCAGGTTTTCTAAGATAGGCTGATACATGTAAGTAAGTTAGTACATGTAGGTACATACATGTATACATACACCCATTAAAGCACACAACTGAAATACATGTACTGTGATATATGGTATTATTATTATTAGAGTAGATAGAAGTATAGGGAAGCTTAGTGTAAACTAGTATTCATTGTACGAAATAATTAATTGATCAATCAATCAAGCCAGTATTCATCAAATGCTACTATCTACTCACTCACTGCAGCTCACACGCCGCCACTGAGTATGCATGCCAAGGCATCAGCAGAGGGTCATTATTCCTGTGGATTGGAATTCTGTGTATACAGTTTTAGATTGACCATCAAGCCCGCCCTTAATCGCAGTAAGGGAAATGCAATATTCTAGGAGCGCTCATTTGCAAGTACGGCGAAACGTCCCATATCTGATCTGGAAAATACGACAATCAAGATGTGATCCCCCCCACCCTCCTCCCAGATTTTCAGATTGACTCTTTTGAAAGTAATCATCACTCCATAACCAATGCCATAAAAGCTAAATCATTCTCAACTGATCCATAGACAACCTGCATTGCCAACTCAACTCAATAATCCAGGTGCTCCGGGTGGAAAGGTCGGCTCGCCCATAATCCATCGAGAAAAGTGAGACACGTAACTCAAGATTCAATTGGAGGCGGCAGTTCTGGTTTGTTGTGTTGTCCATATCCAGGAATGAAGTATGAGCTGTTCAGGGAATACCAAACGAACGGCCGCTGCCCCATACTAGCAAAAATTGCATATAGGACTAGCGTGATGCTTAATCGATACCTATTCAGAGGAGACAATCCACAAAGAACACCCGTCCGAGAGGTCTTCGTCTAGCTCTCACCCGCTCGGAAGATATCCGAGAGAATTCTAGAAGCCTGAGCTTATCGCGGAGAAATAACGACCTGTGCGGCTCCTCGATCCTCTTCGGAAAAATAATCTATTAAGGGAAGGTTCGTGGCTTCTGAAACATATTTTTGCACGGGCCATATCGTGGAGGCACTTTCTGGAACCCAGCATTGATCGCGCCCGGAATTCCCCACAGCAAGTTAATGATGGTATCACATATGGAATATAATTTATGAAGTATGTTCGGTGCGCATCTCATGAAACATTGGTGAATGCCAAGCGAGTGCTGTCGGTTTAAGCATTAAGGTTGGGGTGACGAGCTGAGTGATATGTCAAAAATATTTTTGATTACTCCAGTCAATTGATTGGAGAAATCAGGTAAACGAGCCCAACATGCCTGAGGGCTGATGTTCTTCGTTGTTCCTGCATAATCTTTCTCATCTGCAGTTGCCGCCGCAGAGATATTTAGCATGTCCATGCTTTACTGGGGTCTGGGCAATGATCAATGAGACACCTTTTCACCCGGATACGTAGGTACAAAATGCATTTTTGGATACTCCACATACGC